CCTAGAACTTTAAGCAGGATATAATAGTAAGCATTTCCTTATTATAAATATTATAATTAATCTTAGACTTATTTAACTTCTAAGAGAAAAAGCTAACTAGTTAATAGACTCTATCCTTCTTCTATAGGAGAGCGCCTCCTAACACGAACCTATTATAGTCGGTCTCTAAGAAAGTTAGAAGTGTCGGATCCTAGTAGGAAAGCACTAGTGCTTTATAAAACTTATCTTTTAGCGCTTTAAATATAAGCTCCTCTAGTTTTCCCTAGGAGAATAGCATTCCTTTGCCGGTTAGCATAGTTAATAGTCCTGCTAACTTTAAGTAGTTTAGTATAAATATCTAGTAGTAATTTATAAAACCTAGAAAACAGCGCACTTCCTTTTAGGTTTTAGGCGGCTTCTAGTCTTATATAGCTTCCACTTTTACTAGGTTAGGCCTTACGCCTTTCCTATTAGCGTAAATAATAAATCCTAGGTATTTAATCTTCTTTTATGTAAATTCGCTCTTCTCTAGGTCTAAGAAGAGTCCTCTATTCTAAAGTTTATAGAGTATAATTTATACCTTACGGAAATAATCCTCCCTTAAACTACTAGAGTAAATAATAATATTATTTATATAAGCTAAGGCAAAGTCGTCTAACTATTCCTGCAATAAACTATTAATATACTGCTAAAAAGTTGCTAGAGCCCTAAATAATCTAAATAGATATACTAACTACTTAAAAGAACCGAATCTTATATAAAATGCTATCTTATACTTATAGTTCTTAGCTATTTAGATCTTATAGAAAGCTAAAATAATATCAACCTTTATAAGCTACTTAGCTCCTATAAGGTTCTATATAGTCTCTAGTATAAGAGGTAAGAGGTACTGGTCTAGTTTTATAATAGTATTTAATACTTAATAGTTATAGTAGAACTTTAATCCCCTTCTGAGTTTCTATATAAAAAGTATAAGAGCTACTGCTTCTAAGGTACTTAGTCTAATATACCCTTTTTCTAGGAGTTTATTTAGTAACTTTCTTAATATAAGTAATTTATTCTTTAATATACTATATAGCAGCCCCTATAGTAAAGCTATTAGGGATCCGTCTAGTTATTTGCAGACCTTAATCTTATAGTTAATACCTATTTAGTAAGGGGCTAGTATATCTACTGCTTATTTAGAAAATAGCAGTGCTATATCTTAAATCTCTAGAGGTAGCTTTTCTCTTAACTACTCTATAGATAACTCTTCCTTAACTTTTAAGGCAGCCCTAACGTCCTCTAGAGCGGCGGCGGCTACTATAGTAAAATCGCTATTATCCATATAGTATTTATAGTTGCATCCCTCTATCACTTATTATTTCGCCTTGCTATAATAGAACTATTATTTATTAGGCGCGGTCTATATTTTATTATACGCCTTTTATAAGTTCCCTAAAATTATTAGAAATGCTAGGTTCAGTATTATATATATGTAGACTATTTAACTAAACCTAGCAATATTTATATAAAGTGTAATAACTCCTTTAACCTCTAAATTCTACATAGTAAAGGAGGCCCCTTTTACCTTATACTTTTTATTACTAATATATATAAGTCTAAGGCCTCTTATAAGGTCTCTATTTATTATAGCGTAGTATTAGCACCCTTTATTAATAAGAGCAAAAGTTCTAAGAGTTTTCTAAAGGATTACATCTATATATATAAGGTTTCTATTTATAACTCCCTTAACCTCCCCCTATCTCTTTGCTAATACTTTCTCTGCTCTTAGTTCCTAATTTTAACTAAGAGCTATTCTTTTCCTGACTTAAAAGAGGTAGGCTCTAATATTTTATTATTATCTTCTAATAGCAGTTTAGCTTTAACTATATTAATCTTTACTATTTAAACTAGTAGGGCATATAGGCACTTGCAGATATAGTATCCTAATGCTTTATACTAGTAATAGAGTCTTTTCTCTTAGCATCTCCCCCTTTCTATAGAGTCTACCTATTTAGCTCTCTGCTTTCCGCTTATATTATTACGTTCCCTAGGCTTTTTCCCGCGGCTATTACTAGTGCATATTAGAGCTATTATTATATCCCCTTTACTATCTTTTACTAAGGTTGCGGAGTAACTATAGAGATGTATAGTTACTATTATTTTTATTCCAGATTCCTTATTCTTTCTCTTTCACCTCTTATTTAACGCTTTAAACTGATCCGTTTCTTCTAGGTTAGTTATAATTTGCTCTACCTCTATAGCAAACTTATAGTAGTCTATCACTTTAGCTATTAAGGCTGTATATATATAGATAGAGTTTAAGAAGATGTTTTAAAGGTAGCTAATCTTTATATTATTTTCCTAGCTCTCTCTATTAGCACTTAGTAGGAGTTTATTAAACTTAAGCTAGTATTTATACTATAGTTAACCTAGAGAGTGCCTTATATTTATAAGACGCTCTAGGGCTTTTACTTATTTATTGCTATCTAAGAAGATCTTATTAAGCTATATAAAGAAAGCCTTAGGGTCCTTACCTTTTATAGAGTCCCCCTTTTCCTAAAAGTGATATATTTAAGCTCTCTCCTATGCTAGGAGGGTATTATAGATAGTATTCTAGTAATACTTAGCTAAAAGTATTAGTTTTACTCTAGAATAAACGTGATATAAGCTTCTAAGCCTTAGGAGGTAATCTTAAAAGGCCTCCGCCCGGCTATCCTATATCGGCGGCTTCTAATCTCTAGGGCCTAATAGTTTATAGTTGGTCCTTATATAAGTTATTGCTAAGAGCGACTTAATTAAAGCTCTTATAAGGTTACTCTAGACTAGCGCGTCCCTTAATAGGCCCTGCTAAGCTTCTCTTATCTCCTAGTTATTTATAGCGGCACGCGTTTCTAATAATTCGGTTTCCAGCTGTTATTAGCGCGTATATATCTCTTAGAAGGCAGCTAGTAGTTAGGCGTTTAATATATCGCGCTAAGGGCTTTTATTTCTTAATAGTGTTAACCTAGGGTCTGGTGTAAAGCTAATAGGTAGCCGTGAATCTATAATTAATTAAACTTAATATTACAGGTAAGTCACGTATATATAGAGGCTTAATATAGTATTTAACAAGTTCGATAAAGGAGAGAGAAGAATCTTTATCTGGATCCGAAGAAAAGTAAGCGCTCCCCGGTTAAGGCTTAGTAAGCTAAGCACGGGCATAGCCCGTGCTTTACCCCTAGGGCTCGCCCCTTACACTAGCTAACCGCCTTTACTTTCTGCCACCTTTACTTTCTGCCACCTTTAATTCACTTTTTATTTATTAGTTATATGATTTTTAGAGCTTTAGGAGACTTTTTATTCTAGCATTTCTGCTTTATAGACCTAGTCCGTATTAGGCTTAGTCCTATAGATTCCAACCGGAAACATATTAACCTATCTCTTAATTATATCACTAGCCCGCGCTAGCATTAGGCTAGCGCCGTCCTACATAGTCTTAGACTTATATAAGATGTTAATAGAATAAATAAATAATAAATAAATACTAGATATAATTAGTATAGATTCTATTATAAGTAGAGATATACCTAGCTAGTTATCTCTATAGAAGAGAGCTTATAACCTGTTAAAATAGTAGAATTGTATTGCTTGACTACTATAAATATAGGCGTAGCCCACATCTATATACGGCCCCCAGCCCCCCGTAGGGGGGTGGCTGGGAGCGAAGCTCCCACGTGACACACGTGACTAGTTGACATTTTAATACATTAGACCCTTTTCGACTCCAAAGCAGACGCGGCGCGTTCTAGAAACGCATTGAAGTTCTTTATCCGTTGCAATATTCCCCCAGAATGCCCTTCGTTACTGACCTCTCCGGCCACACGCTTCAGTAAGATATCAAGTCCACCTTTCTCAATACTCCCATCGGCAGTAGTCCTAGGTTCAGTTGCCCTGCCACGTTCCACGGCCATTTCGATATCATAGACAGAGGCATTGACAGTGTCACGCGACTACAACCAAAGTCAGTTTCAGTCTAGAGGTTGGCAGAATGCTATGGACACATGAAAGAGTAGAGGTTCGAAATACCTGAGCTTTGTTTCCTTCATTCTCATGCCTCATTCGAATTCCGTCCATCTGCAGAGCTACCTGCTGTCGCTCTGCTCGAATACGAAGGATATCGTCGCGAAGACCTAGCTTCACCTTCTGTTGCTCGCGAACACGTTTCTCGAGGGAGTATGCGTTGTCAAGGTTAATAGTCTTCACCTGGGTTACTAAACGGTCGTAAAAGGTTCAAGAGAGACTTACATGATCGAGTAAACGTGTTTGTAAGTCTTCGCCGAAAGATTTCAATGCCTGCCACTTTGTCTTATACTCTCGCCTTTCTGAAGGCTCTTCAGTATTATTCCCACCTTCTTCTAGCATTTCTAGCCCAGACCCAATAATCTCGTGAGAAATTCCACTGAGCACGTCGATTGTATTTACACCCCCTCGTTTTGTGTGTGATATACTAGAGTTCAATATCTCGGCGTCGGAATCATCTTCGTCATATATTGGCTGCCTGGTCAATCGGTACACAGGGACTGGAATTGGGCTTCCGCTGCGTAGCTTGGCCTTCTTGGTTACCGACTTGGCTTTTGCCGATGACTTCTTTGGGTGTGATTGCTCAACAGGGCTAGAGACTTTTTGTAGTTTTCGTTTGTTGGTCTTGGTCTTGACAGTCGGCTGAACTTCCGCGTCATCCAAATCCGGAGATGATTCTGGTTGGAAGTTACGGGATACTCTTCGACCACGATTTTTCTTCAGAACAGCAGCCGCTTGGAGATCATCAATCTGCTCAGCTTCTTCCTGCTCCGCCGAAAGTCTGCTTGGATCTTCATTATCAGAATATTCCTCTTCAACAACAGCCTTGTGCTTTCTTTTGTGCCTTGTCGGCTGGTCTGGAGACAATTCATCAACATCATCAACTGGACTTGGCTGTTGCGCGGAAACGCCTCGATTTTTGGGCACCACCGACTCAATTGGCGTAGGGGCAGCATCGCCTCTCTTGCGTTTCCTTTGTACAGGTGTCTCCAACTCTGATTCTACAATGCTGCTTTCCTGCAATATGTGCAATTGTGAACTCGTCGATACTGCTTTCGTTATATCAATACGAGATCTGTGACCGCTCCCAGGAGCGTCCGCCGGGCTCTCGGTAATCTCCTCAGCTAATGGAGGGGCCAGTGAAGGTGTCCTGGAAGTTCGCAGACGACGCTGCGAGACTGGTGGATCCGATTCTGGTTCGAGTGCAGGGGCGACAATCTCGCGATCATCAGAGGCATTCGACACATCAAGAAGCGACGGATCTTGCACATCATCACCTGGAAGAGCATAGATATCAGGTCGTGGCGCTGTCCTGGCTGATCCTGTACTATGCGAAGAGGCTGGCTCTACATCTGTATCAAGTTTCCTTCTCTTCGCGGAGATGTTGGCATCGACATTACCACTCCGCGTCCCCGGCTGGCTGCCATCTTGAGTAGCTAGCCGATTAGAAGGTGTTTGCTGCGCGCGGCTTCTTGTTGTAGGCGTACTTCGAGTGGAAGGCACAGAAGGCAATTCGAGTTGTGGAGGTGATACGGCTGGCACTACAGAGATCGGAGCAGCGGGAATTGTGAGCCCAAAGTCAACGTCCTTGACTTGACGCCTCCTGTGATGACAATGATAGTCAGTAGATGTGCAGGTGTTGAATTGGATTTGGTTTGGCCAAGGCAAGGCGGGGTTGCTTACTGGGAGCCGCGAAGGCGCTGTTGCATGCGTTCTTCTCGAGCTGGAGTATTGGATTAGCAGATTGATTCAAAATGGAGGCTTGAGTTTCTTACAAGCCATGTTTGTTGATTTGAGTTGAGTGGGGAGAGGACAGGATCCGTGGTAGTTTGAGGCCGTCGCGGTCCAGTTTCTGGGGACGCGTTGTTGTGGCAGGAGCGATCGTCGGATGTGCATTTATCAACCATCTATCATATACTTAATGGCCGAAACTCTGCAAATTGGAACGCTTCAATCGAACGATCGTGTGACGGCATCTTCAATCCTCCAAGACGTGGAAAATGTGTTTATGTCCATCAATAACGTCCTTTCTTTCCATTAATGGGGCGGCATTCCCAAGCCGGTCGGAAAGGCTGCTAATTCTTTAAGCTATTCCAAGAGCGCAGAACCATTTATACCAACTGATCAAGTATCTAAACGCAGAGTACCCAGATTCTATATGGAAATGGAATTACAAACTTGATAAGATCATTCGCTGCAGCCAGTTGATCATTTCGCTAATATGGGCTCGGGAGGTTTCCACATGGATGTTTGCACCGGCCTCGACTGAATACGCGGATGAAGAATTTCTGCAAATCATCAAGTCCTGTGTAGACTATGCCGAGAAAAAGAGGTGAACCTGCTTGCTTGTCTGTAGGTTGCCAGGGAATCTTGCTTCGTCAATTACTCACTCTCGCCAAAAAGCTATAATAGAGGTCGTTGCCGTCGGGAACAGCAGGAGGGTAAGAATACAAGTACTATAGTTCGATTACTCTTGCCATATCCTCCCAAGGCATGCAGCATAGAGAACGCAGGGCGTCGTCTCAATTGGAAACCTTGTCTGTTTTCATAAGGAAACGGTATCTCATGGTACAAGGTATAGGAAGCAAGTGCTCTCACCACGGATTCCTCCTTATACCGTCCCATTATTCGGTCAGGAAGGGTCACATTAGAATAATGTTTATCAAAAAAGCCATGTATTGTTCACGCCTAATTACCACAGCAAAATAAGGAACCATAATGTGAAGCCCCCAAGCCAATGTGATGCCGAAAGCAGAAAGCAAGAACTCCCGCCGCCTTGTCCGGTATCAACTCCCCAACAAATGCAAGACCTATTCCATCCCCCACAGTGTCGGATAAACACGCAGTAAGAAGATAGATACCCAGCCGATAAATTGTTTCAAACAAGCAAACGAGCAGCCCAATATGCCAACATGATAGCAAACATAATGACGCCGAAGATGGTCTGGTTCTGCCATACCTTCTTGCCAGGTGACGTCCAGGCTGATAACGAATCATTCTTCCGCTGGGGACGAACGGCCTCGAAAGGCTTGCGAGGAGTGCCATACTGGGTGCTAGGATTGAAACGCCAAGCGCCTTTGTGACGAGGGGATAAAACCAAGTCGACAAAGTACGCGGCCAAGAACGAAACTTCGGGGAAAGGAATCTTCTCGCCATCCACTGTGAAGTTTTTATCTTGGCAGCCAAGGTACAGAGGAGCAGCCCTGCTTTTGTTAGTTCGAACCTGGAAGCCATTGGTCAGGGAACACTCACTTGAAGATATCGCTATAGTTCTCGGCCGTATCGCGCATGTTTTTATCGATTTTCATCAAGCTCACAGAGTCGATCTTGTCATGCAGGTCAAGAATGGTATCGATCTCAGCCTTCATATGCTCCTGATAAATCGGCGCAAACTTGTCAATCAAGAAACGGAGCTTATGACCATCATATTCGTCCCTTGAAACAAGCTCGGCATACTTCTGCAGCGGTTCAAATGCATCATCGATTTTGCGGTGCTGTTGTAGGTTCACTTGCATCAGTTCGCTGTTTCCAGTGTGCTTTTGGATTGCAGGGAAGAAGTGGTGCTCCTCGCTGAGGTTGTGATGATGCATAAACTCGAAGACGATTGAGCAGTAGGTCAAGAAGTCGGCAATCTCTGGCGATCCGGGGAGTATCTTCAAAGCCTGGTAGTAGATGGAATTCAAGGCCCGGAAGATTGTGTTGTGTGCTGTCTGGGAGTTAGCGAGTTCGCTTTTCACGAAAATTTCAAGAACTGGGTTTGTTATACATACTCAATGCCATTATCTGCGCGTTCCTAACACAATAGTGCGTCTGGGGAATTCCTGCCTTGGTCTTGGCCCCCGTCTCGGATATGAGTTGGAAGGGGAATTCGGGAAAGTAAGACATGCCAGGTAACTTTGCAGGACCATGGACATCTGGACCCAAGAACCAGTCAACTGAAGCCTTAATAGCTTCTTCTTGGTTTGCATGTGGTTGGTCTTCCCAAGCCTTGAATCCAAGGATCTTGCGGGCCTTGTCAATGTTGTAGGTGCGAGTCAACAGGACAAACTCCATACGCTCGACCTTCAACATCTGGGGCCGCAGCTTGCCCCAGGTCGTAGCCCAAACAAACCATTCAGCAAAGTAAGCCATGCCCATCACAATCGTTGGTGGGATCATCCAAATGCTGCTGAGAGGAGTAGTGTCTCCAGCGAGAATCCAGTATTTTCGAAAGAAGGTCCAGGGAACACAAGGCTCGCCATCAGTGATGTTGAAGGCCTCTCCATCAATCTTAGGACCGGAGGAACTGACATGGCGAAGAAGCAGGCCACGGGCAGCAAGCATCTCGGCCTTTGCAACGTGACCAACATATACTACATCCATATTGATATCGTTATATCCCATCCAGATATTGGTTTGTCCATCCTCGAGAGCTCCTATAACTGGCACCACGAACTGGAAATCACCTTCTCCATACAGGGCCGTGGGGCGGATAGTTGCAGTATAGAAGCCTGTGGAGTGAAGTCAGCAACTGCTTAACAGAGTACCGGCAGTTCTAGGACTTCTCGCTTACCATGCTTTCCATTTGCTTGAAGGGTCATCTGGTCTCCGAGAGCTTTCGCCACGTGGTAAGGATCCCCTTTTCTCGATACTGCCAATGTTTCCTTTGTTTCATCGGCATGATCGTAGCCTCCACCTCTGGAGGCAACAATGGGACCCGAACTGGTGTAGACATAAGCCTTTACCGTCCCTACCTCTGCTGCTGCATCAAGTAGATTTCTGTTGCCATCAACGTTGACATAGAAGTTATCCAGCACATGTTCATGATCAATGTAAGCATGGGGAGACGCCGTGTTGAAGATGACCTTGGGTCTGACTTGTTGAAGGACATGTCGAACCTGGTCAGACTTGGTTATGTCGCAGATGTAGTAGCTGACATTGTCATAACGGTTAGTGAAGGGCGAGCGGGACAAAACGGCGACAGAGGTAACGGTCGGCTCGTTGAGGAGAAACTTGACGATATGGTGGCCGAGGAAACCGCAGCCACCTATGACTAAACATGCGCCGAAATGGGGTTCTTGAGGAACATCAAGGATCTCGTTCTTTTCATCACTTTCCGTAGTGAGAGTAACGTCGTTTTCGTCGCGCATGGTTGTGGTATGAAGATGGAGGCTAGGGGGAGAAGAAGAAGACATGTTTCGGCACGGTGGTTGAGGCTATGGACTTTGAGTAGTTTAAAGAAGTCAAGTGACTTATGGATGGGTGGAAGGAGGTGAAGGTAACCTTTCACCCGTAACTGTACCTACCTGGTGATATATGTATCGAAGCCTCTGATCCACTCAGAGTCATCTAGAGTCATCTAGATTCACCCAGGTCAGGTCATGCTTTCTTGTCAAGACAGTGAATGCATGCGTGCACAGTACCTGTGTAACCCTGCACAAGCAGAGCGGAGCATTGCACAAGGCCCTTCCCGAAACACAAAACGGTGAATGAATTAATGCAAGGGACACAGCAGAAGGTTCAAGAAGCACTGGGACTATTTCGTACTACATGACCGTGCGACAGAGATGTACCCTAGATAGGTAGGTACTGTTCTTTGATGATTGTTCGTGGAAGTCGGGGCGTTGCGTTGGGTCAAACAAACAACCTGTAAAGGTACCTACCTACCTACCTACCTACCTACCTACCTATGCAATTCACTTGAACGCTGCTGTCAATGTACTAGCATGCTGCCTAGTTGTGGGGCGAAGGTCTGACTCTTTGGAACAAGGCATCGTCGTCCTCCAAGTCAGGTAGGTAGAGCAAGAAGTGAATGTCACAGCAAAGAGTGAATTCTTCGAGGTCCATTCCATGCCCCATATGAAAAGGTCTATCGCCCACCTACTGTTGCTGGCACGCCGCGCAAAGGGCAAATATATCTGATTGCTCTCCACTTGACTCCATCACACCACGTAGAATAATAATCATGTGTGCGCCAAACTCCATCGCTCAAGGCGCTGTGTAAGTCATGCCAGGGATCATAACGCCAAAGATCCAAAGCCTTTACAAGTCGAAGAATCGCTCCTGGCCCTTCTCTGCAAATCGTAAAGGGATACTCGTGCCGTTCAGTTGAACAGTAATGATACAGGTCAAATCATTCTGGAGCGTGTACTTTGCTTTTTCATGGGCTTTGTGCCATACTACTCTCTTCTCTGCCAGAGTCATACCAAGTACTCCCTCATCTTCAGCCCACTCGTCAACTGCCAATTCAACCGAATACTGGCTGAATATTCTGGCGAGCACTGCCATAATCTCGACTTGAGCGAATCGCTGACCAAGGCACGCCCTTGAACCATCACTAAAGGGTACGTATGAACCTTGGATTGGGGTGAAATGAGACGAGTTGTTTTGGTTGTTGGCAGTACCGAGCTCTGGATCATTTCGAGTTGGCGAACTACCCTTGCCTGCCTGGTACTTTAGCCACCGCTCAGGTTTGAACTCGTCGAGGTCGTTAATTGAAGGGCTTAAAGGCCTTGTATAGTCTGCAGGAGGACCTTGGGGCCAGAATTTGGGATTGCGATGAACCGAGGGAACGCATAGTCGAATGATTGTCCCAGGAGCGAGCCTGACACTTTTGCCTTCAATGATGAGAGGTTTAGCTGTAGAGGAAACCACCTTTGGAATGGTGAGAACCGGCGAGTTGAGGCGAAGAACCTCCTTCAAGACCGCACCAACAAGCCCGTTGTAAAGCTTGGGAAAGCTGCTCCCATATTCCCACTCCGAGGTAGGTCGACCTTGAAAGACGGTCTCCATCTCTTCCTGAACTTGTTGCTGTACATCCGGGTGTATTGCCAGATATACCAAAGTGAAGTGAATGCTGTTTGCTGAGGTTTCATGTCCAGCAATGATAAAAGCAAAAAGGTTTCCTATCAACTCGCTATCACTGAGCCTAGACGGCTGGGGGTTTCCATTAATTTCATCATCATGCCCTTTGATAAGTTGTGATATCAAATCTGTAGTCGACGTGCCTGCAACCCCGGACTGGATTGCATGTTTCCTGGCCTTGATGATTTCTACCATATGCTGGCGCAAGAGGTCGTATGCCCCGAGTTTTTCAGGGGATAAAAGAATGGGCGCTGCAAATAAATGAGTTATCTGAGATCCAGGATGTTTCCACAGATAGACTTACCGAAATATTGAACCCACCACGGACTTGACTTTGTTATCATGATGGAAACCATGTTGGCCATGAAAAACTCCAGGTTTTTAATAAAGCCGACTGTTGTATTTTCCACGCGTGGAGACACTCTGCTCGGATTGTCATCAAAGACTTCGGGTGTCCATTCCACTTGACCAAGAGTAGTCCGGCCGAGTACTTCCAGGCTCATTCGCAGGATGCTGCTTACAATCTTCTGAGTAGTTTGAAACTCTCCACCTGGTCCTCGAAATGTTTGTATCATGGTCTGGGTTTGATCTAACGCCACCTGCCAGACGAGACGGTTGTTCTTCTCACTGAAGGCGGGACCGGTAAGTCGTCTGTGGTATTTTGAGGTTGGTCCATCAGATGAGACGACTATTGGTGTCAGTACTGGTGGCAGGGAATAATGGATCGGAGAGCTAATAAACAGTAAACACCAGGATATGCCAAAGAACGACGTTCTCTCAGCGTTGAGAGAAGATGCTAGGATATCATGCGGTTGAGAGGCGTGGTACGTACCATTTTGTCCAAATATGGCAATGGACTTGTATATCTGAATTGCCTTTGGGAACCCCACACCTTGTGCCAGAATCTGTGATATGACGCCTGCATCGGCAGTATTGAAGATGTTCCCTCCAGGCGAGACGGTAAGGAAGTTATCAGTCCCCAGAGCTCTGAAAGTCTCATGATTGGCTTTCAACGGCCATGTCGGAGTGCCAAGAAGGCGCGGTGAGATAAACGACGGCTTGGGGAGGATCCTGCTGAGGGGCCTGAGGACGATGCGACTGTACAGTTTTTGCAATACAAAGTTGTAGATGTAGTTGGGGACAATCACATACCGAAGACGCGCTGCCCTCGCCTCTGTATAATGGCAGTAGAGGGGGATCAAGATCAAGATCAGGAGCGGGGTAGTTATGGCCAGAGGAACGAGCAGCCTCCAGTAGGACAGCGCCATATTGAGCATTGCGGCGATCTGTAACGCCATGTTGAGTAAAGTTGACTATAACCAACACGACGCGGAGTTAAATCTGGCTGTTTGTTGTTTGTTTGTGGGTGTTCTGTCGCGGCTACTGTAGCATTTCTTTGCGCGGTCTAAGCAATAAAGAGCGAGGATATACATGCAAGCACGCGACAAGTGAATAATGTAACTTGATTATCTAGATTTGTGCAGATAAATGTACAGATGAAATTGTTGGTATCACAAGGTGATCACTTCACTACACGTGTAGGTCCGTATTTGATAGTACTAGTGGTTTCATTAGTTGTTGGTTAGCTAGCTAAAAGTGGTGGTGGCAACATGAAGAGGTTATCCCCATGATGACTAAGCTAGCTCGGGTCACATGGCTCAAAAGGCTCCCATTATTCCCCATACAGAAATAAAGTGGGCATTATCCAAAGAAGCGCAATTGAAGCAGGAGATAAACGCGCACATTGTACAAATACACACAGCCAAGTACGAACCTGATATGGTATGTCAGAGTGAGAAAGTGACAAGGTGCTGCATGACATGGTTTGAAACATAATGGGAGTGAGTGAGTGAGAAGATATATATACCTAGGTATAGTTGCCGTCGTCACTCAGTAAATTAAGCTTAAATTTTGGCGGGAAGTGGAGAGTACAAGTAGTGGAGTAGAGCGGAGTGGCGGTGGCATTTAGAGCGCCATAAGCGAGGCTTGGCAGGATCACGTGGAGCAATCTTTTCCTTGGGAATATCCTGCTTTCTTGTTTCATCAGTTTCATCTTATTAGCATTCTAGTCAGTCCAGGCAAATGAATCTCCATATAAGAGCAAGCGGTTTACAATAAGGCTTGAGCTCGCGCAATGCTATACTGCCACGCAGCACAAAGAAGGGAGGATCTCGTGAGCAATGTTCGCGAATCTGAGTGACGCAGATCGATGTGTTTGTTACCTCTTGTATTACAGCTAGACGAGTCTTTGTATACCTACTTAGTGGAAGGCCCCCTGCAGAATGTCGTCCAAGGCGGCGCTTCTTGTGTGCCTCCTAGATGCAGTACAATCATCCGATCGTCTTCTAGAAATCTCCGGGGCCTGGAAAAGGACGGTGCGGTGCTACAAGACGACATGTCCCGAGTGTTTATATATCATCATGGAGATACAGAGGATGCGCCTTTCCATAGCGGCGAAAGGATGGATCGTGGAGCACAGGTAGGTAGCTGCGGTTTGTAGAGCTGATATCGTGTACTGGGTGGTCCAAGACTCGAAGCAAAACAAACGCCTTCCTGCAGCACTATTTCTTATATTTTATACCTACTCTCAGCTCAGAGTCTTCCAAGAATTGTATTGCATCTACCCATTTTCTACCTTCCGTTCGTTTTCGCGTGAATATAGAGGCGTCATCATCTCTGCACAGAAAGGAAAGACGTGCCTTCCTCTTTATCCAATTCACTACCTATACGCCAAGCCACCCAATTCCCAATTCCCAATTCCCAATTCCCAATTCCCAATTCCCAATGCTGGGCGCTGATTCATTCTTTGAAAACCAACAGTCCAGTCACTTCTTCTTTCTGGCATCGCGCCATCTGTCCTAGTAAACGATATTCATATACCACTCCAGGCGCGCTCTACGTGTCGTATGCATCGACCATCACAATGGAACCCGAAGTCTGCCTGAATCCTTTCCGAGGCGTTCCTGCCGGGTCTCCCCTTGATCCTGCCAGCGATTCCTTCAGCGCAAAGAAATGGCTCTCGAACCTGATCGGCTTCGTGGCCAAGGACCCAGAGAAGTACCCGTACCGCTTCACCGGACTCACATTCAGGAACTTGGATGTCTATGGCTATAGGAACCACTCGGACTACCAGAAGACCGTGGGCAATATTTTCCTCGAGGTCGGGCATCTGTTTCGCTCCTTGGTGGGAACTGGAAAGCAGAAAGTGCAGATATTGAAAGGCTTTGATGGCATCGTGGAGAATGGGCAGATGCTGCTTGTGCTCGGTCGTCCGGGAAGTGGCTGTTCCACACTTCTAAAGACGATATCCGGCGACACCGGCGGGTTCCATGTCGAGGAGCACTCCCAGCTCAACTACCAAGGCATCTCTGCGCATAAGATGCACACACAGTTTCGCGGAGAGGCACTCTACATGGCAGAGAACGACGTCCACTTCCCGCAGCTTACAGTCGGCCAGACTCTGCTATTCGCCGCAAAAGCTCGAGCACCGCGCGACTATACCTTTCCCGGAGTTACTCGAGACATGTACGCCACACATATGAGAGATGTGATCATGGCAACATTTGGTTTGCGCCATACCCTGGATACGAATGTCGGGAATGATATAATGCCTGGTGTCAGCGGAGGTGAGAGGAAACGAGTTAGCATTGCAGAAGCTACGTTGAGCGGGAGTCCGTTGCAATGCTGGGATAACAGTACCAGAGGACTCGACAGTGCAAATGCCCTGGAGTCTTGCAAGCATTTGAGGATTTCAGCAGACATGGCAGGGTCGACGATTCTGGTATCTCTCTACCAAGGATCTCAAGAAGCGTACGACGTAAGTCACTGAGCCCGGACAATAAAGTTCTGTCTAACATTCCACAGCTTTTCGACAAAGTAACAGTACTCTACGCTGGACAACAGATATATTTTGGCCCCAGTAATGCAGCAAAAGCCTATTTCACCAATATGGGCTTTGTATGCGCTCCAAGACAGACAACGGCTGACTTTTTGACATCCCTGACTAGCCCTAGCGAGCGTTTGATCAGACCTGGATTCGAACATCGGACACCACGTACCGCTGCGGAGTTTGTTACGGTCTGGCAGAGTAGCAATGAATACGGACAATTATTGGAATATATAGCGGCTTATAACGAGAGTCATCCGGTTGGATGCAGGTCTGCTGCTGATTTTGCGGCTTCAAGAAGTCTACAACAAGCTAAACACCAGTAGGCTGGCCTGCATTCTATTTCTCCAAGCTGCAACTAACAATTTGCAGCCGTGTTGAATCGCCTTATACTCTCTCCGTCAATCAGCAGATCAAGTTGTGTGTCGGGCGTGGCATCCAACGGCTGAAAGGAGATGCCAGCGTTACAATCTCTGGTGTTGTTGCTAATAGTATAATGGCCCTCGTTGTGGGTAAGTATTTTCCGTTTCTTATGCCTTTGCAAGGTATTTACGAACAACAGGAAGTATATTTTACAACATGGAAGATAGTACGGCGGATTTTCATAGCAGATCCGTACTGCTCTTCTTTGCGATTCTTCTTAATGCTTTTGCTAGTGCACTCGAGGTAAAAGCCGCGTTTTTTATGACAGAAGAAGCTGCTGATATCATTAGATTATTATTCTTTTCGATCAACGTCCTATTGTTGAAAAGCACGCCAGATACGCTCTATATCACCCTTTCACAGAGGCAATTTCATCCGCTCTCTGTGACTTGCCGTACAAAATCTGCAACTCCATCGCGTTCAACCTAGTGCTCTACTTCATGACGAACTTGAGAAGGACACCAGAAGCATTCTTTGTTTTCATCACCTTTTCGTTCTTCACAACTTTATCATTGTCTATGGTCTTCCGGACTATTGGGGCTACTTCTCGGAGCTTGGCCCAAGCACTAGCTCCAGGAGCAATTTTCATTCTAGCGCTAATGGTTTATACCGGATTCGTAATTCCAGTGCCAAACATGGTGCCTTGGTTTCGCTGGATCAACAAGGTGAACCCGATTGCATACGCCTTTGAGAGTCTGATGATCAACGAGTTTCACGGCCGAAATTTTAAATGTGGTACCTTTGTTCCACAAGGACCTCAGTACGGCAATGTTGGAGACCTCAATCGAATCTGCGCTACAGTTGGTGCTCAAGTTGGGTCAGATTTTGTTTCTGGAACCGATTTCATCAGACTGAGTTACAATTATGAGCGTTCTCATATGTGGAGGTAAAGTGGTCAGAAGTCAACCTCCAACATCCTGCTAACTGGAGCCTAGAAACTTTGCGATTATTGTTGCGTTCTTTGTCTTCTTCACGGGTACTTACTTGATTGCTACAGAGTTCATCACCGAGAAGAAGTCCAAAGGAGAAGTACTTCTTTTCCGGCGAATTAACAAACCTCGCCTCACGAATTCCAGCGACCCTGAAAACCCTCAAACAGCCCCAGGAACGCTAGATCCTATTGTACGGGATCCTCCGAGAGGAATATCTGGGACCATTGAACATCAAACCTCGATCTTTCATTGGAGAAACATATGCTATGATATCAAGATAAAGAAGGAAAACCGCCGGATCCTAAATCATGTCGATGGTTGGGTGAAGCCAAGAAGTTTGACTGCGCTTATGGGGCCGTCTGGAGCCGGTAAGACAACCTTACTCGATGTTCTAGCTGCTAGAGACACCATCGGCATCGCGTCTGGAGGAGCTCTGGTTGACGGTCACCAGCGTGATATATCCTTCCCACGCAAGACTGGATACGCCCAACAACAAGATATCCACCTGGAAACCATGACTGTTCGAGAAGCACTCCAATTCAATGCCCTAATGTGCCAGCCGAAGAGTTTAGTAAAGAAGGAGAAGCTTGCCTATGTTGAGGAGGTTATCAAGCTTCTGAAAATGGAGTCGTATGCCAACGCAATCATAGGACCTCCTGGAGAAGGTATGTCTTATATCACCTTAATAATTGAAGATCGATACTCACGTTTTGTAGGGCTTAATATCGAGCAGCGAAAGAAATTGACGATTGCTGTTGAGCTCGCAGCAAGACATCAACTGTTACTGTTTCTCGATGAACCCAGTTCGGGACTAGATAGCCAAACCGCTTGGGCCGTCTTGGATCTTCTGCAGGAACTGACATACCACGGTCAGGCCATTCTTTGCACCATCCATCAACCGTCTGCCATGTTGTTCCAAAGATTCGATCGCCTTTTGCTGCTAGCTCCTGAAGGAAAGCCTGTCTATTTTGGCCAGATTGGCTATGAGGCGTCGACTGTCATTAGCTATTTCGAGCGAAATGGAGCAAAGCCATGTCCCGCTGATGCAAATCCTGCCGAATGGATCATGGAAGTAAGTCAACGAGTTTTTCATTGTTTCTCCATACATATTCCATCTCCAATGAACTATTTTTAAGAAATAAAATTAACCCATGGCGACAGGCTCTTGGATGCGCACCAGGTCATCAGAGTACAATCGACTGGCCTGAAGTATGGCGAACCAGCCCTGAATACGTTCATGTTCAACACGAATTGGATAAAATGGAGAGACAAAATCTACGATCAAGTACGATTGTATCAGCTGCCACAAATGAGCATGGAGAGTATGCGGCTTCTTTTCAGGTACAGCTTTGGGAGTGTTTCAAGCGAGTTAATAAGCAGTACTGGAGAAGTCCCTCGTATATATACTCGAAAGCAGCACTGTGTACTTTAGCTGTAAGTTTTCATTCAAAATACCATGCCAATGCTAATCGTTGCGCAGCCATTATTCCTGGGGTTTTCATTCTACAAAGCAGATAATTCCTTGCAGGGTTTGGAGAGCCAGACTTTTAGCATTTTCATGCTTCTGTAAGGGGCCTTGATTCCTGCTGAAATGATAATTCTGACCGTCTTATAGTACACAATCCTCCAATCTGGTTCCTCAAATTCTTCCAAATTTTTGTATCCAGCGATCTTTATACGAACGCCGAGAACGACCTGCAAAGACTTACTCATGGAAAGTATTTATACTATCCAATATATTGGTTGAGCTACCTTGGAATACACTGATGTCATTCATTATCTTCATATCCTGGTATTACCCAATCGGCCTGTACAGGAATGCAGAACCATCGCATGCGGTCATTGAGAGGGGGGTTACCATGTTCCTTCTGATGTGGGTGTATATGGTAAGTAACTTAGGGTGACTTCTTCTATTCTCACTTATCTCAAGCTCTTTTTGCATTTCTAAGACGTGTTCTTTTGCTCCTGGAATTTTTTACTACTGGTATATGTTGCTGTTTTTATCTAAGAAACTCGTGAGAATTGTTACTGACTCAATTATCTCTAGATGTACACCAGCACATTTGCCCATATGGTTCAAGCTGGGGTTGAACTGGCGGCAATGGCTGGAAATTATGCCAATTTGCTGTTTATCCTAACTCTGATATTTTCCGGGTTGGTTCTCTCCGCATTTCTATCCGGTCACTTCTAACTCGTTGAAATATAGCCTCCTCGTCAATGCCGATGCTCTTCCAGGTTTCTGGATCTTCATGTACCGCGTTTCCCCTTTTACGTACCTCATTAGTGGCATCCTGTCGGTTGGATTGGCCAACGCACCTGTCAGCTGCTCGAAGATCGAGCTCCTCCACTTTGACCCTCTCCCCGGCATGACGTGTGGCTCTTATCTAAAGTCATATATCGAAACTGCAGGTGGTCGAGTTATGAACCCAGACGACCATTCTGCTTGCTCGTTTTGCCAGGTTGATAATACAAACGATTTTTTGAAGTCGCTGCGTATCTACTACGATGATCGATGGACAAACTTTGGCATTTTGTGGATTTACGTCCTGTTTAATGTCTGTGCTGCTATATTCCTGTACTGGATGTTCAGAGTGCCCAAGAAGATCAAGAAAGGAACACCAGAGGATATTTCGGACCCCCCACTTCCACAATCAGAGCCTGATGATGTAAAGAAGGATTTGGATCTTGATGAAGAAGAATTTCGCGAGGCAATTCTGAAGATGAGATCAATGGTAGATGAGGGGGAATTTGTTGGTTCTGTAAGGTCCAAGTTGTCTGGCAATACTCTACGGCAAGCTGATTGTGAGTTGTGATGTGGTGAGGAGATGTAAGGAATATTGCTGGGGAGCTGGGGAGTTATTTCCTGTTGATTGGTGGAAAACTTGGTGGGGGGGCGGGGCATGGCTAACTGGCAGCATGGATAGATACTTATAGAGCTTTCATTATTTGCTAATTTGCTAATGTTAATGACAAGAACTTCTGGTTTTTGAGGTCATATATTTTCAAGCTTACTAGGAAGTAACTCTTAACTTCCTGGGTCGTTTGTCGTTACTTAAACGCCAACCGGATCCTCTTGCAGGGATTATGTGCACTCGACGCGAACTCGGGCTCGGGACGCGTTTTACCCCTCACTCACTCTTCAGTCACTCACCACAGTTTATCCCTTATGAAAGACGTTCAGACACTCCATAATATACGACTCTAACATGAACAATCAATAAAGTGCCCCAATTCATGATACTAGAATATCTTCCTTTCCAAGATGGCTACAGCAGCGAAAACCCCTTCTTTTCTGCCTCCAGAGCTTTGGATCAAGACATTAAAGAACTTCGACGAAGAGAATGACCTCCCCGAGCTCTGGATGAACTATCGACACGTCTGTAAAACTTTCCAAAGCGCCATTGAGTCTATCTTTATCGAAAAACATCTTCCTAAGACATGGATCCGATGGAGTTTGGGTTCGTCTTTGAACCCCCATTGACCCTTGATACTTACTGATCTTGGCCAAGGGAAAATACACTTTGAAAAGGTTGGGATACTCATCCTAAATCCTGAATTCAAATTTCACGCCCTATCGGAAGACAAATCTGCCGCTATCTTCAAAGCAGACATCGAGGAAGACTTCCGCGACAAGGTCCAGAACCGATTGAAAAGCCGGATCCAAGAAACCATTAACGCCGCTGTTTATACTATCACAGATCCGTACCACATGATACAGGTGCATCGCGATCTCAACGACACCCCACTTCCCGGCCTTTCCTTCGATGCCGAAAACGCCCACCTAAGCGTGAATTGGAGGGAGCTGTACACGCGATTTTATGGCGAAGAGCTATTATACCACAAAGGACTGCAGAATTGGTCGACCGATAACGAGACATTGAAGGAAGAGCTTGCCGCCAAAGCAGGGAGTGGACAGGCTGGTATGATGGAGGTGCTTATGAAGGCCATGGAAGCGTTTACTGGCGGCTCGGACGAGAGTCGGAAGGTTGCGAGGAGGGCGCGGATAGAAAGGCAGTTTGGGGATATGGGTGGGGAGTGGAAGTTTGAGGGGAATGGGGATGCGAGGGAGGAAAAGAAGACGCTGGATGGGTTGTCAAAGGCGAGGCAGGCGGTGTCGTTGGAGGAGGATAGCGAGTATGATAGGGATGATGATGGGGAGGAGGAGAGTGAGGAGGGGGATGAGTGGGAGGATGCAAGTGACGACGACGATGACATGGAGGAAGAGGACGACAATGAGGAGGAGGATGATGATGATGCATGAGTTGTGCATTTTGATCTAGGATAGTGAGTAAGCCTGCTCAATCTTAGTCATGTTGGCGTTTGATTTTTGTTGCGTACTATTGATACCCCCAGGAGTCGAGTATTGAGTTTGCCACTTAAACGTTTGGACTAGCAAGTATATATTTTAGAATCGCATCGCTTGTTACCGGTAATGTCATGTGTTCATATTCTTGAAACACATTCATTGGCTCCTTCCTATCTTCATCCAAATGTACCGCAGCTTCTGGTTCAACATGTACATGTACCGCAACACACACTTTCCAAAGGCTGACGAGCACGCCCGCATCATCAACCTAACCAGGTTTGGATCTTCGAGTCGCACCTTCCAATTTCAATCCTGGCACAGAGTATTCCTCTTAAGCTCCTTCTCCTTCTGCAACATCCAGCAGCGAACATCATCTTTAACAGCTAGATCCCGCAAATAATCAAGCCCTGATCCATACGGGATCGGTGTCACGCTTCTCCACAAGTTCTCCGCGTTCCCAGCAAATATCGTGTTATCAAGGGGTGTCAAGGGCGACAAGTTCTCCTTTATCCCATTCGATCGGCTAGCACCAGCACCCTATTTATGGGTATCTGGTGTTGCTTCCAATCCCAAATATTGAAATACGTCTTTTTCGTGCCATACTGAGGTGCAGGACTTCTCTCTTTGTCTCTTCTCAAGGACGATGGCCGGTCGTGAACTGCTCTGTTCAATTATGTGACAGAGTTTCATCTATTGTAGTCGACTCTAAGTTCACTCACCGAGGTAGGTGATGTACCTCTACGATAGTACGCCCGATACTAATCCTCCAATAGAGACTCGTAACCATGGAGAATTCACAGGCCCTACCAGCGAAGTCCCCAAATTATCTCAGTGATCCCACTATAATCACTTACTTACGAACCACAAGGGTCCACCCCGGCACCTGGCTCGGAGATTTCCACCATGCTTCAGTGTGCCAAGAAGCAGACACCAGAGGTATCGATGCTTTGCTTACGGTAATCCGAGTTCTTTTGCAGCTATGGGTCTGGATTTGGAATTGCATCCAGGAAACCCCCTAGTGCCATCACCGAGGCAGAGCATTTGATACTCAAGGTGGTTAGAGAAGCGATTGGATTCTGTGCAGAGAATGACTGGAAGATCAAATGGGACATCTTCCACGCTCTGTTCAACAGCATGTGGTCCTTGAACCACTCTTTGTCTTTTGAGCAACTATTGGAGCACTCGAATCTTAGCAATTTGTTCATCGACAATGAGAAATTGCGTTTGGTCAGCTACGAAAAAGTATTTATCGAACGCCCTGACGGCTACCACTGGAAGCACTGTCCGCTTGACCCAACATCAAAGCTATATCAAAAAGTCAGTACGCTACACTGTAGTAGCTCTGAACCTTTGTCGGAATATGTCTCCCAACTGTTTTTTCCCATCAGTCATGAGGGTAAGAGATACCGGTTTATATGCGAAAACCCAGACTTTATACGCGTCGCGTATGATATGAAACGTCCAACAGCATTCCAGGAACTCTTTCAGATCCACCTCCGAACACAGGGTCCCACCGAAATTTATTATGGCTAGGAACAGAGTTTTTTTCAGGTTACATATCAGCTTTGTGCCGTTGTTGACCTCTCAAATCAACGAGTCTTTACCTATGACGAGCTAGACATCGAGATAGAGGTTGCCGAAGTTGATTATCTTGACGAGCTAGGCTTCGAGCTAGAAGTTGCTAAATTTGGAGATTCTGACGAGGAATTCAAGAAGTACAATTGGACGGAGAAGGAGGGGGAGTATCAGCTGTTTTACTTTCGCGGAAAGCCTAGTTCTAGTGACGTTAGATTGGGTTTATTAGAGGGGGACGGGTATTGAGGCTGTTAGTAAGGGTATCGACATGATAAGTTCCTTGTACTGAGACTTTTTACATCGAACTAGTGCCTAAAGCAGGTGGGTGGCACTAGTTAGAGGTATCTTTATTGTGTTGAAGTCATTGATTCGCAACTCGTAGTACATCTTCTAACCAGCGCTCATGCGTTTCTTTCCATCCATCCTGAGGTCCTCATATTATATATCCTCTTGAACAAACAAATCGAAACGCTTTCAAGAATCCTAATGCTGTCCTTATTAGGGGTGGGCTAGGAGGTCGGGTCTCGGCATCATGAAACTCTTCCTCACCATCTCCTTCCCTATTACTACTACGTTCTAAGTTCACACCCTCCATCAATTTGGCTGCTCCAGTTGAGCATGATATCATGGAATTCCAATTCCTTCTCTCCCACATGGCTTGGCCACTTCCTCCCCTTCGCTTTCGATTCCGCCTCAGAGTCTGATGACCCTCACTACCCCACACTTTATCTTTATCAATTGAACGACTCAACAAGACGAGCAATCTCGGATACCCTCTCCTTTTAAGACCGAAAAATTTCTCCACTCCCTCGTGATAGATAGAAAGACGGCGGCCAGCGGTACTGGTCGATAATGTGCAAGGCGGCATGGGATATTATATTAGAAGAGTACGATAGGTAAGGAGTGTTGGCATTGTGTTTAGGCTTATATCTTATAGAGCTGGTGGAGGAGGAAGGATGCTGGAAAGGGATTTCGGAGTTAGATTACTGATAGTAGGGCAATCAAGGTTAAGAAATGGGGATTAGTTGGCGGGCTGGCTGGTGGGAGAAAAACAGGATGATCCGATCATTTACCCATGCTAAGGACGAGGATACAAGGCGTTGAATTTTCTTAGACGAGAGGGAAGGGATGTAATTGGGAATGAAGATATATCCCTTTGTATACGTTTGGAAGGTTAGGAGCGATTCTAGGTAGCTCTCCTTTTTGCTCGCTTAGACCCCTGAACCTGTAAAACTCGTGATGACGGAGGAAAATGTCTTGGTAAGGTACCTGGATGGGGGTGAAACTTTTCAGGCCACCACTCATAAGTCGGAATAAGACATGGATATCGTGTCGGACAGCAGCCTCGTGCAGATTATACGTTCTCGGAAGCGCACACAAACGATTGAATCATAGGTCACAGTGATGAAAGTGGTAGTGAAGGTGTAGATAGAATACACCACGATGTATTCATAGGTCTTAACACATATAATACATAAAAGTAACGTCTGTCACACTAATGCAAAAAACAGAAAACCCAACCAGAAACTCCTAGCTCATGCAATCATAATACAATCCTCCCATTCCAAACCGTAATACATAGGAGATATAAGCATAGATATATGCCGGGATAATGGTAGCCTAGGAGGAAAAGGAAACAAATCGCGCATGCAGGGCAAGGGGTAAGGCATGAGGCGGCTGTTGATGTTTGGTGGGTTGTCTCGTGGCGTAAGCGCAGCCTCGCGTTTGGCAGCCAATGAATGATGCGCCTTCCTTTCCCCCATAAACCTCATCATCATCTGTGTGAGCGCGACGACCTGTGCTTATGGTCCTGAGTCTTGTAGTGTTCCGAGCTGGTAGCTTCTGACGATCTTGGTGCATCTTTGTCGTGGATTACTCGGCGGTGGGCAACGACCTCGACCTTTCCAGACCGTGATATTTTCCCTGAAACGTATTTGCGATCTGTAGAGTTGTTAGTTTGATGATTGCAGGTAAGAGTGATTGTGTGGTACGAACCATCGTCTGCCGTTCGGTACTTGTGTTCCCCAGAATCTCTGCCGGAATAAGAAGTTCCGCCATTGTATCCATCGTTTGTCATGCTTGATCTCGAGGAAGAATAGTTTCCCTCTGTTGAAGACTTATTCGAGTAGGATGTGCGGGAATCGTTGGACGAATCGCGTGAGTGGATGATGGGTTTCGAGGTGTAGTAAGAACGTCTGTCAGACATTTTTCGAGTGGGGAGGTTTGTCTTTTACGTTGGAAGCCGAAAAAGGTACTTGAATGTTTGATTGCTTGCGTAGTGCAAAGATTAAGCCGAGACAGAAGGCGTGAGTTGTAATTGGAATTGAGGTAGATGCTGCTTGTCAAAGTTCTTCATAGTTGGGCGGAGAGAGAGTTCTTATACTTGTAAGTCTAAGAATATGCAATGGAGGATGAACAGCCCCGATTGGAAGCCTGGAGAACTTCAAGGCGAAGCATCCAGATAGGACGAAACAAGACCATATCTCCCCTGAGAATGATGGTGCCTGGCATGAATGGGTCCGATTGGAAAAGGACTGCGCCAACTTTGGCTCTCAATTGACAGAAACAGTATTCAAATGACTCAGGATTCCTGAGTCAGGATTCGGTGAGTTTGTTGGCATGCCGAATAGAGAGAAAAAAGGGGGGGAATGTGACAGGGGGAAAAGAAGCTTAAGGGCTTCAGGCTTCTTTGCCGCAAGGGGTAGAGAGACCTGTACTCGGCTTGCCATTTGGCCTGGGCTGTGCCGCCGGTGAATAGCTTTGGCGTACGGAATCTTCGACCAAGCCACTGGACTGCCGCGTGCTGTGATTCCTGATGAACATAGATAATGTGGCTGAGCAGTATGGACGGTAGGGCTATTCCTGAGGCTCTCTCAACAGACAGGGCTGTTGTTGGATGACGGGGCAAGGCAAGCAAACTGATGCCATATGGGGAATCGATGCCCTCAACACTCGGCGGCAATGGGGTATTGAAACCCAAGGGAAGGGAGCATTCGCGCCATGGTCGTGGTTGCCTTGGGGGGGGGGGGGGTAGAACAGATGGCAGAAGAGCTGAAAGCTGCTGACTGACTACCTGGGTAGGTACCTCACGGAGCCAGACCCAAAAGAGAGTTGCAGCCTTGTGAAGCCTCAGAACTAAGCCGGATTCGAGATGTGACTCAAACCCCGTGATTGGTGACTGTCTGCATCTGGATCAGTCAGTCCTACTCGGCGTGGAAAAGAGACGTCGGTGGCCTGCAGGGTGAAGCCAAGTTTGTCGTCGGTGAGGATGGTGGATACGAACTGTGGAGGAGTGAAGTCGTGGAGATTCTGGAGAAGAGAAGAAGAAGTGTTCCAAAAGTGCTGGTCCAATCAACGTTGGCCCCTCAATCTAACTGTATTAGGCTACCTCCCTCTCCCCTCCCTTCCTCAAGGGTCCAAGGGTCAAAAACAACCACCCACCAGAACCGTGCCATGCCAAGAGAACAACAACCACCCCTGCAGAAGTAATATCTCAATCCAGTTCAACCTGGACCTGGCCGCACATCATCACCTTAATTCAACGTGTCCACATCTCCAAGGTAAGCCAATTCCTTCCCGAAGCTGCACACTTCACTCACCACCATCATCTTCTAGTTTTCCAATTCAATTACCTAAAATGCGTTTCGCCATCCTCTCAATTGCCGCTCTGGTAACCGCTGTCCTCGCCGCGGACGAGGTCAAGATCGAAGTCACAAAGGCTGTGGAGTGCGAGCGAAAGAGTCAGAAAGGCGACAAGGTCTCTGTCCACTACAAGGGAACATTGGCCAGCGATGGCAAAAAATTCGACGCCAGCTACGATCGAGGAGTCCCGTTGAGCTTCGTTGTTGGTAACGGGCAGGTCATCAAAGGGTCGGTCATACATTTGAAAGCTTGGGGAAAGATCAATTGATGCTGATAATGGATTAGATGGGATGATAACCTGTTGGGCATGTGCATTGGCGAGAAGAGAACTCTTACCATCCCGCCTGCGTTTGGTTATGGTGATCGAGCCATGGGCCCAATCCCTGCTAAGAGTACTTTGAGTACGTCCTTGCCTCTCTTTCTGCACACAAGGACTTATACTGATGATCCACCTGCAGTCTTCGAGACAGAGTTAATGGGCATCGAGGGCGTCCCAGCACCCGTAAGCATCATCGAGAAACCCGCTTCTGTAGGCAGCGTCGCGAGCAAAGCAACAGAAGGTTTGAAGGCCGCTGTTGAGAGTAAAATTGCCGAGGCTGCTGAGGCGGCCAAGGTTATCCTAGCTGACACTGACGGCGATGGACAGGAGCACAACGAATTATAAATCAAGGTACAAAAGAGGTTTGTGGGGAGTGGAATTGGGGTTGGTGTAACATATGCGTAATGCTGAATCTGCCGGGTTGCTCGTAGCATATAACTTTTGGTTTCAGCGATTATGGTTCTTTGCAAGTGATGTCTTGAACGAAAATTCCTTGTCATCTAACCTCCAGTGTTTACATTGACAGTCCTCACCATTTAAAGTCTCCTTGCCCCTCCCCTACCCTCGATTTCTTGCTCTTAGTTGCTGCATTGAACTCTCGTAAATTGATCTCTTTACGTATTTATCCATTCTCTACAATCGAAAATTCTTACAAGACCTACCAGCATGTTCCTTCTCAGCTTCGGATTTGAGATATGATTGCTGCACCCTAAGCCGGAGACGGGACAACCTGTAGGTTTCTTTCCATTTGTCCTATGCTATTTAACGAACTGAACCTTGCATATCAACGCCCGAAATGACGCCTACGTCGGAGCAATACTAGCCGTCAAGAAAACAAATTATACCAGGTATATTGGTACGGAATGATCTCGACGGACAGGCCTGATGAGCCACTTAACTGAGGTATGTAAATATGTAAACGCATATCACGATTAAAAGACCTTAAACTCTCAGTAGTTTAGACGATAGTTTATCATTCCTTTGCCATTAAGTGACCCTTTAATGCTACTCATAACCGTGCCCTTTTCGTAAGCCATCAAATATATATTCCCTCCAAACGCCTTCGTAGACCCAAACACCACGCTAAAACAACATCATGACTCAATTGTATTCATTCGGCAGGACTGGAGGGTCCGTTCGGTGTGTCCATGGCTGGATTATCAGTCCATTCAAATTCTGCGAGGTTCAATTAGCATCTCGCAGCCTTGAGGAAATTAGAAGAGAACTTACTCTGTCTGCACATCGGGCATTGTCCTTTTGAAGAATCCTGTTTGATCCATTCCACAATACAATGCTGTTTTAGATCAGTCCAACCCCAAAGTCGGTGCCTGAGAGCTTGACTCACCATGTGGAAGTTGTGGCCGCATTTCCCAGAGACTGCGTCCAAGATATTAGCACTTAAACTCGACAAATATAAACAAAGAAGCTTACGCAAACTGCAGTCATCTCCAGGGTATTTGCACGTCGGACATGTGCCATCGAAATGGACCTGACAGATACCGCAAACATCGTCGTCGGGAATATCCCAGCGCCATGTAGCCACCGCGTTCCATTTCTTGATTCTGACCTTCATTTTGAGAAAAAGAGGGGGGTAAAGACCAGATATATGTTCCTATGGCAGTTTCTAAGCTTTGCAAGCTTTCGTAGAAGAGTTGAAGCTTTGAATGTGGTGGAAGTAGAGATTCCAAGATGTTGTGGTTGCTTTTGCCCTGTTCGTGGTCGCGACTTTAGCTTTGTCCCGTATTCACGTGCTTGAAGCTTCCTTATCTGCGAAGCTCTACGCCGTAATAGTGCAGTACAACCACCACCACTTTTCTGCCATCCCTCGAATCTACCAACCAACCAAACCCCTCTTTTGACAACAAGCTCAAGCCTTCAAGCTCCATTTCCTTTTTGTCATACGAGAACTTCAAATCTACATTTACAGCTTCAATTCCCGCTTCCCTCACTTTCCATTCCTCAACTCCTCTACAGCTTGTCAATTCAACCCCATCTTTCTCATGCACCCCCAATAACCGTCCCCACTCATAGCACGCCATGGTGGCCGTTGCTCTCTTAAGCAGAGGGGCTCGCCAATTCCGGCCTCAATGCCACTCTCACTCTCTACACCTCAAGATGGCATCCCATACTTCCCGAAGAAGCCTCTCCTCTTACCTTGTTTCTCCGACAGAGCTGCAAGAAGCCCTTAAGAAGAATCCTCCTAGCAAGATTTCTACCGCTCCACGGACAGTAGCGCTCTGTGCAACCTGGTTCCTCCCCAACGATGGCCGCAATGGTCTACAAACCTTCCGCGAAAAGCGAATTCCACATGCACGCTTCTTCGATCTAGATAGTGTAATCGACAAACGGTCTCCGTATCCTCATATGCTACCCTCTGCTTCCGACTTCGCCAAGTCGATGAGTGCGTTGGGTATTCGGAGGGATGATACGGTGGTTGTTTATGATTCCCAAGAATTAGGAATCTTTAGTGCGCCGAGAGTGGGCTGGACATTGAAGGCTTTTGGACACAATTCTGTTCATGTTCTGAATAACTTTAAGCTATGGGTGGAGGAGGGATATCCGACGGAAAGTGGGGAGTTTTGGGATGTGGATACTTGCGTTTACCAGATTCCTGAGTTTGATGAAACCAAGGTTGCTGATTTCGAGGAAGTCAAAGAGATTGCGAAGGACCATAATAAGGAGGGTGCCGAGGGCATACAGATTCTGGATGCCAGATCTCAAGGCCGATGGAGTGGAAAGGACCCCGAGCCAAGGCCAGGACTTTCTTCGGGGCATATGCCTGGCAGTATTTCCGTGCCGGTATCTGACCTGCTGGATCCCGTGAAGAAGACGATATTACCTGGAGATCAACTAAAGAAGATATTTGAGAGCAAGGGCGTGGACCCAAATAAGCCGATCATAAGCAGTTGTGGGACAGGAGTCACTGCAGCAGTCATTGACGCAGCATTGAGTGAAGCTGGGTATGGAGACGAGAGCAAGCGCAGAGTATACGATGGCAGCTGGACGTAAGTAATCTTGCCATGCTTCCAGAATACGACAGCTAACAACGCGTAGGGAATGGGCGCAACGAACTTCACCCTCGGATGGACTGATAATCAAGGAAGAATAAGGGGCAATAGTCATTTTTGATGCATTTGAGCGCTGTTATTTGATGGACACCTCAACCCTCTCCTCTTTTCGAAAACTACTTGTACATGATATCTTGGGCCCGGGCATTAGCGGTCCGGTAATGAGTATGGCAGTATCGCGTTTTTTGTTTTTGGTAGTACGTGAACCTTTTTATGGCACTTTTCTTATTGTTTCAGCTCTAGTGAGCGGATTGTGGAGGCTATTTGTAAAAGCATCTAGGTCAAGCGACTAATCATATATCTGCTCGCTCATGGGCTCTCCAAAAAGCCTGGGCTGTCGAGCTGTTTCATCCCAGGAACCAGCACCTGCAATGCACCTCGGCAACCAACGAACTCTGCTCTCATCCAGACGAATGAGAGTAGTCACAGATGTGTTCACCATCTGAGCGATGAGGCCAAAATGGCAACCCCAATCACTACTTAGACATCCCCTTTTCCCTCCCACAGGAATTTCCACGGTCAGAATCCCATATTCGGCACCTCACTTGTATGGAGTAGGAACAGCGACCAGTCCGGGTACGGGCCGGGCAGCCTTTCATTTATACCAAAGCTTCGGGTCGCTTTCTCAACCGATATCACATTCGAGATGAGGTATAGCATAAGAACGTAGCGTATCGGACAAGCCGGTGCATGCATGATTAGTCGCTGATCAGCCAATACTTGCTCCACAATTGTGAGAAGTGATAGAATATTCGGAACGGAGATTCTGCAACAGGCGGATGAAACATCTTGGGATTAGTTCACGTACAGTACAGAGCACATCTCAGCACGTGTGTTATACATGTGTTGTACGGGAAGGTAGGGTCGATTGGAGTATGGACTACATCGGCACTTAAGAAGCGGGCGCTTACAGCCCTCTATCCGGGGCCGCAAGGGTTCATGTACTACGCCGAATTAGTACTATAATTCCTGTAAGGAGCAAAAGCCGAGAAGGTGATTCACGCATCAGCGCAGCAAAGTTTACGAATGAAACACAGAGAAGGATGGCAAATCGAGATTCGAACCAGTAAGAGGCAGAATATATATGCGACGTTATATAAGCCTACGGCGATGCGTCCACCTGGCCCGGCTGACACCCGCCGAGGCATCGAATCGCATCGCGCCACTTAAACATATTACTTTTTAGGCGCAAAGAAACTGTTACGTTGGTGAACTACATGAACACAGACTATGCCCTGCCCCACGTTCTGAAGCCTTTGGTCTGGTTTGTTTCTCGCCTCATACTACCGTATCATGGCCCCAACCGTTTCACCTCCACGGTCTCCCCCAATCCATGATCCTACTACAACCCCATCTGCTCAACAAGTAGGACTGGAGGCTGAGGTACTTCTGCCGAGTGTATTCTTAGGTTTCAGCTGGCTTAAATTTGTGTCAGGCTGATAATGACCGAGATAATGACTCTGCAATATTCGATGTGAGCCTCGAGCGTGCCTCTCACAAACTGAATATGCTTACAGCCTGATAGACCGCTAGTAATGCTAGCTCGACGACCTCTCTATCGTCGAGTATCATGAAGCACCGAGAAGAGAATGGGAGAACTTATCACTCGTACAAAGAGGGCCAGTATCTTTACCCAAATGATGAAGTGAGTTTTCGAGGCTGAATTTGATAACTTGGATAAATTGATTGACTTTAACCAAAGGGTGAAAGTGATAGGCTAGGTAAGCAGCAAGATCGACAAACTGCCAAATCTGATGACTATAGATCTTCAACATCACGTTTATACTTTGTGTTACGATGGGAAATTATTGTCCTGTCCTATTGATAAAGATTTCCAAGTTCAACGTGTGCTTGACGTGGGTACGGGGACGGGAATATGGGCCATTGACTATGGTTGGCAGTAAACGACTCGTTGCAATGTATAAGCTAATCAAGCCTAGGCGATGAACATCCTGAAGCAACGGCAAGGAACATTTCCGTTTTCCAATCTTCATATTACTAACAAGACCCAGGTTCTAGGAATTGATCTCAGCCCTATTCAACCCGCTTTGTAAGTGTTTTTAAACCACAGTTGTAACTCTTTTTGACGTTCTTAGCCTGCCAGCAAATGTTATCTTCGAAATCGATGATGCAGAGGAGCCTTGGACGTATTCCCAGAAATTTGACCTCATCCATGCCCGCATGGTAACCGGCTCCCTCGCAAACGTGCCAAAATTCTTCGAGCATGCTTTTGAGTGGGTTTCAAAGACCCCTATCACAAAACCAAGTCTGACTTTATCATAGAAATACAGTTCCAGGCGGCTATATAGAATTATCCGACATTACCGTGCCCATCTGCTGCGACGACGGGACCATGAAGGACGATTCAGCCATGCTGCAATGGATATTACTCTTACTGGAAGCGAGCAAGAAAGTCGGGCGCGATTTGAACGTTTCGGCTACTTACAAGGAACAGCTGGAGCGTGTGGGATATACGGATATCGTGGAGAAAATATATGTGTGGCCTATGAATAAGTGGCCGAAAAACCCTAAGTTTAAAGAGCTAGGTATGTGTATGACAGACAAGAAAAGACGAATTAAGCCCAATCGATGTATTGGGAGAGTATGGCGAGCTGATGCTAATGATGGCAGGGATGTGGACGTGTGAGAATTTGGTTTGGGGCGTGGGAGGCCTTTCCATGGCACTCTTGACTAGAGTTTGTGGTTGGAGTGTGGAAGAGGTCGAGGCATATCTCGTGAATGTCAGGAATGAAATCAGGGATACGAGAATCCACTCGTATTGGAACATGTCAGTCTTTCCATTCAACCAATCTATTCATGCTGATCAATGATAGCCGTACAGTATATGGTCGCAAGCCGTTAGAGTCATAGTAAAGAAAATCAGCTTTTTAAGAGCCTTGCGTTTATTTTGTCTGCGACCTCGGGTCTGGTCATTCCTAGCCTTTTACAATTCACCTTTTAGCACACGACATGATATTGTATCTAACCAGCACAGCAAGGGCCCATGGAGGTTTCACAGTTCTTTAGAAGCTTTCGAAATTTTATCAAGAAAAATTTAGTACCAGCTTGTTTGAATTCGAGCCCTTGATGGAGTGAGAGGATATTTTAAGGATCGTGCAAACAACAAGATACTAATTAGAGGCGTTATAACACGGCGATTTATCACTTGATACTGGATTGGTCACAGTTATCACTTTGTGAGCGAAGTTGAAAACTATTCCAGTACACTTTAAGCCAAGTCCTACATTCTCGAACTATCATGCACCTGCACTTCTAGCCTCATTATAATTATAACCCACAACGGCCTACCGTCATCTAACCCTCCTTGGTCACACCCTCATGACTAGAAGATTCCACGTCTCGATGGGAAACGGAAGGCAGAATTTTAGCATCATTCCCAAGTTTTTCCACCAGATAATGTTTCGATTTTTCAGTCGCTAGATCGCCTCCGAGAATAGCAGCCTCGCCATCAAAGAACTTGACGATTTCCTCGAGAGGGGTGTTTCGAGTCTCGATATAGAAGAAGTAGACGGTGAGAAGCTCAACAAAGAGCCAGACGTCATAGACGATGTAGTATTTCCAGTTGAGAGCGTCGAGGGCAACAGGGTTGACGTAAGAGTTGAAGAACAGCGCAAGATCGATGGCCAAGAACATGAGAGTAAGGCCCTAGGATTACGTTAGTAGGTTCAAGATGAGATAAAGAGCATAAGAGAGCTTACCTTGGCACGAAGTCTGTACGGCAGAATTTCAACAGCATATCCAACCAAAAGTCCAGACCAGGCCGAGTTGTAGAAGACGTAGAAGATGAAGATGAACACGATCTCGGCATACCCGGCGGCTGGGTTTCCATGAAGAGTAAATTGAGCTGCACAGATGGTCCAGACACAGAAAGTGGCGAACATTCCCCCAGTAGCGAACAAGAACAAGGGGCGACGTCCCAATTTATCGATGAAGAAACACATGGTAACGGCTGTAAGGAAGTTGATAATATTAAGAATACCGTTTATCTCCAACTGTGTCTTCTTGTTACTAACACCAGCCTTTCCAAGGACATCGCTCATGTAGTAAGAGACGAGTCCGTTGCCGGACCATTGTGAGAAGAAACCGAGAGTGAACAGGATGAGAAGACGGCGTCGATTTCCAACAGTCTTGAAGAGATCAAACCATCCATTGCTCTCAAACTCTTGCTCGAGTTTAATGGTATCGTGAATTTCTCGAAACTCGATTTGGACTAGTTCATCTTCGATATTTCCGTTGGCATGGCACTTGGCCAGGGTGTGAAGCGCTCTATCTGTTTTTCCCTTGGCAACGAGATAACGAGGGGATTCGGGAACAAGCCTAAGTTTGTGTTAGAAGCTGAAGATAAAGATCATAAATTTGACACCAACTGGTGTATACATACCAGATGGCAATGAGTTGAATAACCGAAGGAAGTGCTTGAACGATTGATGGGATTCTCCAAGACCACGCGTTTTTGATCGTAAAGGTACCATAAGTGAGCCATGCAGCAACAATGCTACCAAAGTACCAGGTGCTGTTGTAGATGGTTGTGAAGATAGCACGATGTTGGGGGTGAACAAGCTCTGCAATCAGCAGTGGTGCTGAACCATGGGCAATCGCAATACCGAATCCGATGAGGAAACGGGCGGCAATAAACATTTGAATATTGACTCCAATGGATTGTAGAACCACGCCAATAACCATGATGACACAGCCTGTAATGACACCAACACGTCTGCCTAAGCCATCGGCTATGTAGGGAGTGACGGGCAGGGCGACAATCGATCCGACAGACATAATAGCGTTTAAAAGACCCCTGGTAGCAGCATCTGGGTTATGGAATGCTTTGCTATAGTTAATATGGGTGTTCTGAAGTTGAACAATAAATACGCACACTTCTTCCACTCATCCAAGGCCTGGAGACCATTCATCATAGATCCATCATATCCATTTGTTGCAGAGGTGAGGACTGCAAACATCAAAGCGACGTACAGACTTCTCATGCCGGGGTCCTTGTACCATGTCACACGGGGAAACTCCCGTCCCCCAAGCTCGAAAGTCTTCTTCGTTGCCGTGTAGAAAGGCATTTTGGCGATGATCTAGAAGAATGACCGGTGTCAGAGAAAGAACTCTGGATGGAGACCTTTGAAACCTGGGGACGTACCGACTTATATATATCTTACCATCCTAGGCTTTGTATAAAAGAGTCGATTTTACTTCTTCCCTTCATCCCTTCATTTAACCGCTTTTACCCTCGCAAGATCTCGAAGAAACGTGCAGTGGCGGTCCTGGGTCGATTTTTCGAAGGCCATTAGTCCAAGTCACGACATGCGTGGGAGCCTCTTCGGCTCCACATCCCAGCTTATTTCTCCAGAATCCCCATTTACCCCAGTTCCGGACCTGGGGAGCTAATCAAGACGACGTACAGTATCAGGAAACAGTTGCAAATTCCCGAGAGCAACCGTGCGTCAACCCCAGGAACTTAAATCTGGATCTAACTGTTCTTGTTCACGAGGCATTTATCCTTAATACCCGCTCTAGTCAGAAATTAGCATCAAGCGACAAATATCAATCGGATAAACGAGATCAAGGACTTCTAGAAGGTGGACTAACAAGCATCGCCTCTGGCTCACGCACCTCTTGTATTTGCGGTGAAGAATTTGGTGTTCTGAAAGTGTTCAATCTCGGTCTACTCCGCGAAATCGAAAGGTACCCACTTTTCATAGTATAGTACGCATGCGAATTATCCAATCTAGGGATCGCCTGATGAATAGCGTTTGATACATGTAATGCGGCTTCCCATCCCATCCAATATCGCCATTGTTTCAGGTAGCGATAGGGACACGGCCCGAGATTCCCTTCAGATTTATATTTGGCTGAAGGAAGTATTTTCACACCCATGAAGGAAGAGATATTCAATCAGACGTGAGAAGTACGTGATCTGGACCTGCGGCTGGACTTCGAGTAAAGTCCTCGTAACCTGTGATGGGCTTCTGTCAGCTGCGGCCACGGGTCGGATACGGATACAAGGCGCGTCCTCCCATAAGTATACTCCACACTGGACTTCCAATATTTGAGACGATCTCGTGTTGATATCGTAAGACTGACAGAACAAAATTCACCGTACAATTTTAGTTGCTGGTTCCCAAAGCAATAGCTTCGTGAACCAAAACATCTTGGAAACGGAAGCCACACCAAGCTAGACTTTACAGTCATCCGAAGAGCATGAGATGTTCTAAGAATTTAGATGTCTGCATTCTCCAGCCATGCATTACCAGACTGACCGCATACATAAGTCGGATATCGAGGGCTAGATATTGCCTATTTCCACGAGGCCAGCAGAGTCCTATGTTCTCGTATCCAAACTCTCGCAATGAAGCTGATATCGCATCTTATGAAAACAGGATGGCGTTAAATGTTGTGAGATGTTGGTTGATAGTCTTAAGCATAAATCTCATTCCAAACGCCAATTGATGAAGAGTTGTTTGGCTTCCGACCATGGGTCCCGTTTTGTCCTGTATTGCATGTCTTGTTTTGAAGGTCTTATTGCACTAAGAATACCTTCGGATCCAAGAATCACTAGATCTGGTGGAAGGTGTGTACTTGCGAAACCAAAATTCCAACCTGATCAACTCTCGGACCACGAATAATGGCGCCAGCTGCAAGTGTATAGAGTTTGTAAGGCCATGACCTATTTCCATAAATTCAGTGAAAATGATTCTCACATTATTTCACCATGATAACGTCAAGTGACCGAAACATCCCATTCGAATAGCATTGGAATTCCCGAGCGGGTCAGGCCGTCCGGTCCTTTGATCGTGATCGGCGAGGGAAATATTTATAACAGAACTCAACTTGAGACCTTCAATATCAAAATGACAATGCTGAGGGATAAGATGGGGTTTTGACAGAGTTTTGAAGCCACCACGCTCTTATCATTATTAAATTGGCGAAATCTTCATGTCGTCTCAATTGAGGCTCAAGCTTCAACATCGGGTGCGCAGTCCATTTATTCTTTTCTCAATCTACAGTCTCATAGAGTGGGACCGTTGAGAAGGTTGGCCTTGATGCTCCGATCAAGCCTTTTTGTAATTTCAACGGCAGCAGCCCGATACCGTGTGGCGCGCTCTAAAGTACGAAGTATAGTCCCATTGTTACCTAGATGCAGTAGTACGCAGATAGGATAGCAAGATACCCCGCTTCGCTCTATGAAGATGATCGGGTATGATGATTGAGCAGTTGGGAAGAATAACAAACTCGATGAGGTTAAGGGTTTTAACAGACATGAGGGGAAGCAGCACGCGGTATTGAAATCCCACTCCTGGCTGAAAGAACTTCGAAGAGGTGTCAGAAACGAAACGTTATTAGGAAGAAATGTCTTGTTGACTGCTTAGTCTTTGCGCTCTATATACTGGACGGAGAAGCAAACATTCGAGGTTGATATTAATGAGGTCGTGGACGTGAGGCGTTAGGGAATAAAAAGAGGCCAAGGCAAGTTATGAGAGGGCCGCTAAATCCAGTCTAGCGCGAACCTTGCCACGCTACGAATACAAAGTACTTTTAGGAACGAAAGATTGGACTAGAATGCCATTGACGAGGTCACAACTATCAATGGCTCAACAATTGGCAACCTGGAGAGTAAAATTAAAACGAATGTGCAATCACTAGAAGACTCTCCTGCTTTGAGAATGTGCATTTAATTTCCACGGCTACGTAGTTAACATAAATGATTCAATTTATATTTCGAGCTCAAGGCATCTCAGCCCAAAAACCCTGTAACAACACTTGCAGATTCCTCTGGTTTCTCAACCATTGGCAAATGTCCCGCATTCTCAATAACCTTGTACTCAGCACCACTCGACCCATATGCACTCGCCATCTCCTTCATCGTACCTGGCAATACTCCATCGCCGCCCCCAACGAGGAACATGCCCTTCACCTTACTATTCTTCATCTCCTCTTTCAAATCATACTCAAACAGCGCTCTCACACTACTCCTGAAGCCATCTAAACTATTCGTCTCGACCATCTCCTTGATACGTTCCATCTCAGGCGTGTCGTGATTCTCCTTCACGAACCAGCGGCGAACGGTCACGTCTGCCAGTTCTTTACCTACGATTGTCTCGCCTGAAGATATAGAAACAGCGTTTTCCTTTTCGCAGATCGCGATACGCTCGCCCCATGCTTTGCTATTCCCAGCGGGGGATTTGGAAGAGGTGTCGCAGCTGATGAAACTCGCGACTCGGTCTGGGTATTTCAACGCCGTGTTAAGAGTAGTGGCGCCGCCAAGCGAAACACCGATTATGGCTGCTGCTTTATTGACTCTCAATGCATCCAAGATGGCAATCACATCGGAAGCCAAGACATCTACGGTAATCGGTTTTGTGCCGCAAGCAGAGGAACGGCCTCGAGTGAGGTAGCGCAGGACGCGGTATTTTTGGTTTGTCGGGTTCGAGAAGAAGGAGGAGAGGAAGTTGTCCCATATTCCCCAGGTTACAAGGATGCTGTTCGTGAGGACTATAAGGGGTGCGGAGGGGTCGGCTGAGCCTTCGAGACGGTAGGGAAGATTCACGCCGTCGGGTGTAGTGATGTAGGATTCTATTGCGCCTGCTGGGGCGTTGAATGCGGATGTGGAGAAGGTTTTGGTGATATAGGCATGTTGAGGATCTGTGGAGTTCCAATTCGAGAGTTTTGGGGAGAAGTATCGTGGTGCGGGGCCGAATGTGTAGTATGAATTGTAGACTCGCCGTTTCATCTCCTTCACCACCTTGCTTTGAACCTCCTTGGCCCACGGCGTAGTCCTCGCAGCTTCAAGTTCCGGTGCTCCCGACAATCCATTTTTGGGCGAATAGTCGTACAAGGCGAGGTATTGGGCAGGAGCTTGAGGGTCAATCGAGGATGTAACAAAACGACGTGTCCGTAGCCATCCTGGGACTTTCGACATCATCTCAGTATGCTCTTCTCTATACCACTTATTCAATTTCTCTTCCATGCCCTCTCCAGGTTGTAAGTCGATAAATACGGCAACCATAACATTTTCCTGCCCCTCGTTTTCTACTTCTTCCAGCCTCCGGAATTCTTTACTTTCTTTACTTTCGACTAAATCATAAAGTTTCCGGTCAACATGAATCTGCGCCATTGTATCTGCCTCCCTCGGCGTTTTTGACGGCGGACCTCGCAAGCGGAGATATGCTTCTTTGGTCATCTCTTCCATATCCGTGACATCGTATATCGCCATCCATTCTGGTTTCGCTTCCGAAGCATCTTTGCCCTCTAGATCGCTCGCACGATAACGGAAGCCATTCTCGAAGAAAGGTAATCGGACACGCAAAGGCCCGTGTTCGTTGTTGTACCAGTCATGGAATTGGGAGATGGGCAGCCCGGCTTTGGGCTGCATCGTCACATAAAGAATGCCGGGTGTAGGTGCCATTATTTTTACTGGGGGTTGATGCAACGATGGTCTGATTCTCGTTTGATTCTGGACTTTCGGCTGCTTCAATCAATGTAAATTTATTGGGATAACTTCTGAAGGATGAGACGGAAATGAAAGAGGTACAGGTAGAATCTTTATCCGGGAATTGCTCCCATTTCCAAAGTCCTGCCCCACCATGCTGGTTACGTCGGTGCGGGGAGAAAACGCGGGAGTTTGCGCGGGAAAGAGAATGACAGGGGTCTGCGCATCACGTGTCAGAAAATGAAATATAGTTTGTTACGAGAAGTATATATTATAGTGAAAGTGGTACTCCGTAGATTTGCGGGTTTCAAGGTTGAGGTTGGGGTCAAACCCCGGCTTTAGGTCGGTTGTCTTCTCAGGTTTCACAAACATAGAAGAGAATATCAATTCGGTATATATCGGCTATGTCTATCTATCCAATCCGAAATATATTGCATCAATCGTACCAAATTGCATTCATCCCAAATCCAGGTTCTTTCACATCACAATGGGCAACTCTTCCCAAGAATTCATCCTTCCACCTGTAAATTTCCAACCAGCCTTCCTGATCATCCGTCAATGCCAGATACTCATCACTCCAAGGACAAGGGCTGACAGCGTTCGAATGCCCTCCGCTTGTTGGTGTAGGATTAAGACATATTTGTCTTTCAATATTCCCAGCTGGTCCCAAGGCAAAAGCCGCAATGTAGCCAGTCAGGTCGAACTTGTTGGCTCGGGATGTGGCAAAGAGGTATTTCCCACTTTGGGAGAGAAACACAACATCTGAGCGATATAGTTTGCCACCTGGATTTGGGATACCTATTTCACATTAGCTGTTTTCTCCCATGAGAAGAAGGGATGCTTGCCTGGTGGAATGAGAGGATATGTGATGTGAGTAAATACAGGACAATGACTTTGCTCATCAATGACATAGACAGCCAGTCTGTTCCCTGCCTCCATCAAAACGTACAAATAAGCTCCGCTCGGATGTATAGCCACCCATCGAGGATGATCTAATGGATCCGGGGCTTCCAAACATCCAACTAGAGCCAGGTGACCCGTCTCTGGATCCCTCTTGTGTGTCCATACTTTGTTGCCCCTTAGATCTGCAGAGTAGAGATATTCCTCGCTGGCATCAAACACCATACCATGGATCCCAGTCTTGGGCATATACTCATAGTTCTGTACACATTTCTCCAGCGCTCCGTCTTGGTTGACTGAGAAGACATTACCCCAGCCAGCATGATCATAGAATGGGTTTCCGTAAACATTGAAAGGGGGTTTGTTTGCTGCGAGTACAAAGATGGCTCTTGTATTTGTCTCCGAACTTGCAGCCTTTGCTGATGAAGCATGAGAAAAAGCCATGTGATAGATCTGGAATCACACTCACGATCATGACCCATTGGATGTGAAGCATTGTGGATAATCTCAGTTGGACTTTTGACAGTGAAACTGGACCACTTCTTCATCGCAGCTCCATAGATATTCTTTTTGGCATGCTAAAGTTGGGAGAGGAGGGTCAGTCAATTGTTCTTTGAATACATACAGAAATCAACACAAATCAGTAACTTGCATCAAATGTTATCCATGAAATTGGCTCGTCTTCTGGAATTGTAGTCCTCTTGATCATCTTTAGAGTCAAGGCTTCATCGTCGAATTGGAAAGTGAAAATAGCTCCTGGTGGGGTCCATGTCCCCACCATCAAATGATGTAACATGGTGCAGCGTGAGCTGGAATGAAAGGAACTCGAATGATCTTTGGCAATGGGATATGATGTTGAAATGAGGCCAGGAATTGGACGCCTGAGTAATGCTCTATGCATGAAGTCGCAACTTACGTGGATGTTTCTACTTTGCTTGCGGAGAGCATTTCCACAGTCCCTAGGAATGGAACGGATGCCGATAAGTGCAACCGAAAAGGAGAGGCGGGTGAGAATTACGAAAGCTGTTAATGGCTGGATGTAGAAGGTGGGGCCATACTGCATGAGTAAGGTACAGTACTCCGTAGTGAGTGGCAGAGTAGTGGAGAAGCCAATGCGGGGAGAGAAAACGGCAGAATATACATCCGTAACTTGCCCCTTGCGCCAGACTACACACACATCCAGCTGAATTCAACGAATGCCAATTGGTTCCGTTCAAGAGGGTAGAAGCCGACTGACATGCCGCCACTCTGAATTTACCACCCACGAGGAGGGGTAGGAGGCATTTCAACCATGCAAAGGTGGTTCATTCCGTCCATCGTCTTTGACTTTAACGCCGGCTCGCTGGGCTTTTCATTAAAAGGTCTGGGTACCCACTGGTAGGACTCTTCTTTCCTCATCCCATCTCTCTTATCAAGACATCCATCCATCCAATCCTTCATTACATTCAGGTCAGATCAACAATACAAACCTCTTCATACTCCCCAGACACCAGATACCACCATCATCATGTCTAGATTCGATCCCAACTTCACCAAACATTGCATTGACACCATCGGTCCCAAGACCGACCCAAGAAGCCGTGAAGTCCTTAGCTCTCTCATTAAGCACATCCATGACTTCGCGCGCGAAGTTGAGCTCACTCCAGATGAGTGGATGATGGGAGTCAAGTTCGTCAACTCGATCGGACAAGCCAGCACTCCAGTCAGAAATGAAGGACATCGAATTTCGGACGTTATTGGACTCGAATCGTAAGTAGCATTTTCCCAGATCATTAACATTGATAATAACCATTTCCAGCCTTGTCGATGAAATTGCACACGCAATGTTCACCGATGGAGCTAGTCCCACATCATCCTCCATTCTCGGCCCTTTCTGGTCACCAAACGCACCATTCCGCGAGCTCGGCGGAAGCATTATCCAAGACCCCGCCCCAGGCGGACACCCTGCTCTCATGCACGGCAAGGTCACCGATCTCTTGACCGGAAAAGGCATCCCAAACGCAGTCTTTGACATCTGGCAAGCATCGTCAAACGGCAAATACGATTTCCAAGACCCAGACAACCAAACAGACAACAACCTGCGAGGAAAGTTCAGGACAGATGCAAATGGCGAATACCACTTTTACTGCCTCAAGCCTACTGCCTATTCGCTGCCAACTGATGGGCCAGCTGGTGTGCTACTGAAGCTGTTGGATCGCCATCCTATGCGCCCTGCCCATATTCATCTCATGGTAAGCTATTCTTCACTCTACTTCAATGAGCAGCGACTAATATTTCCCTCTGCAGATCTCCCACGATGATTTCAAACCCGTAACCACACAAATCTTCCCCAAAGACGACCCATACCTCACGACCGATACCGTTTTCGCTGTGAAGGATGATTTGGTTGTGGACTTCCTCCCAAGAAAAGACGATCCTAAAGCAGAATTGGATTTGGAATACAATGTGAAGCTTGCCCCGAAATCATATTCTGGTGTTTCGCCTGTATCTCAGACTACGATCGGATTGGAGCCAAGACTATAGAGGATGTAGTTGAAAGGCGGAGATAAGAGGGCGATACCTGACACTATTATGATGGTCTCGAGTTGATTTGCCTATTTTATGGCTCATGAAAGCTGGCGTTTTGTATTTGGGTGTATATATGGAGCATTGTGTCGTATGTTACATTCTGCAATGAAATAGGTTCTATCTATTCCACGTACCATACTTTGCCGTTTGAAATGCCTTGTACGACTGTGACCTTTGATCGTTCCCACATAATACCGCGATGCAGGTTTTACTCCTTGATTCGCCACTAATGAATTGACCTCAAGAAACAACTTGTCGTTTGGTCCATAGCAGAAAAGCCTCTTAAGTGGAAATCTTTCACTTCGTGTCGGACATTTCGGCATCGACTATTGAACTACCTAGGCTAGGTACTGTAGGTCATATTGTAGGTAGACTAAAGATTCCCTTTTCAGTAAATCTGCCCAATACCGTGAACTCTGTATATAACATAAATTAAAAGGCATAAATCACCGACATGCAACAAAAGCTTCATCCTCAAATCACATCGCTTTTTACCCCTCACTTACCCCGCTCACGTGTCGTAATTTAGATTGCAGCACATCGCACCCTGCAATCTTCTGATCTTCATCTCGATAAACGTCACTTGCGTCCAATACGGAAGGTCTCAACGCTCGAGATGGCTTCATCCCGGACGTTCCTGCAGGTGGTATATGTATGTGAGAAGGATGAGGGATAGTACCCCCGGAAGGTACAGCTTTGCTATGGGTAGCTTTCTTTCCTTGCTTCGTTCCCTTTTCTTTTCTTTTTTCTTCGTCTTCCTTTTTAGCGGAGGAGAATCTTCAATTGAGGCAAGAGTTTATTCACAATGGCTTCAATCTTCAAGCAATTTGCTCTACTATGCCTCCTACACCTGGTAGCCTCCCAAAACTCCACCAATTCCACCGCTGACGTCCTCACCCTTGTAAACCAGCTCATCGGCACCGACAATGGCGGAAATGTCTTTGCAGGCGCAACGCGTCCGTACGGGATGGCCAAAGCTGTCGCAGATGTTGACGGGCAAAACACAGCTGGATTTTCTACCGATGGCTCGAACGTAACGGGCTTCTCACACATGCACGATTCTGGAACCGGCGGGAATCCCTCTCTTGGGAACTTTCCTCTATTCCCACAGGTCTGTCCTGGGGACGACATTGATAATTGCAAGTTTCAAATCGCGGAGAGGAAAGTGCCATATGTAGGGAGCAGTGTAAAAGCCACGCCCGGGTACTTCTCACTGGAATTGAGCACGGGTATTTCGGCCGAGATGACGGTTACAGAACATGCTGCTTTGTATCACTTTACGTTCCCCTCTTCCTCGGGATCAAACGGTACGAGTCCTATGATTCTTCTCGATCTGACAGACCTTAGTGCCAGCCGGCAAAATGCTTCTATAAGCATAGACTCCAGTGGTCGCATGAAAGGGAATGGAACCTTCATCCCTAGTTTTGGGAGTGGTAGCTTTGTCTCGTACTTTTGCGCCGACTTTCAGGGCGCTAGTATAAAGGATAACGGGATCTGGGTCAATGCAAGGGCGGGAAGTGAGCCCAAGGAGATATTTGTAACGAGAGGTATCAATCTTTTCTATCTTGAATCCGGGGGCTGGATACAATTTGACAGACCTGCGAATGGAGTTGTGAGTGCGAGAGTTGGAGTCAGTTTTATAAGTGCAGATCAGGCTTGCAGTAACGCTGAGAATGAAATCTCTGGGGATGAGTGGGACTTTGCTGGTATAAAGAAGAGTGCTGAGGATGCTTGGAGGGATAAGTTGAATGTGGTTTCTATTAATGCAGGTGGTGCAAGCCAAGATCTTCAGACGGGCTTTTATAGTGCCATTTACAGGACTATGATGTCTCCGCAAAATTATACTGGAGAGAACCCTCTATGGCAAAGCTCGGAGCCTTATTATGATTCTTTCTACTGGTATGTCTTCCCGTCTCAACTCTCTAAGGTTGTAGATGCTGAATATGAAACAAGCATTTGGGATGCTTTCCGCTCCCAGCTTCCTTTTCTCACAATAGTCGACCCTATCATCCTGACCTCTATGGTTCGTTCGCTGCTCGACACGTACAAGCATGTCGGCTGGCTTCCAGACTGCCGCATGAGTCTATGCAAAGGATTCACACAAGGCGGATCCAACGCAGATGTCGTCCTCACAGACGCATACGTTAAGAACCTCACATCACCTGATGGGCCCATCGATTGGGAGCTAGCCTACGAAGCTGTGCTAAATGATGCCGAAAATGAGCCCCTTGATTGGTCTGTAGAAGGAAGAGGTGGACTGCAGAGTTGGAAACGACTAAACTATATTCCAGCGCTGGATTATGATTACCTTGGTTTCGGGACGAATTCGAGGAGCATTTCGAGGACGCTAGAGTATAGCTACGATGATTATTGTCTTGCAACGCTTGCAAAGGGGTTAGGGAAGGATGATAATTACACGAAGTATCTTTCCCGGGCTACAAATTGGCAGAACCTATGGAAGGATGACACAACGAGCTCTATCAATGGCAAAGACACTGGCTTTACAGGGTTCTTCCAGCCAAAATATTTGAACGGGACATGGGGCTACCAGGATCCAATCTTATGCAGTCCTCTGGATAGTTTCTGTTCCCTGACCTCTAACCCCCAAGAAACATTCGAAGACTCAATCTGGGAATACCAATTGTACTATCTCTCCTCCAACCTGTTAATGAATGCTAATACAAACAGTTACGTCCCACACGCGATTCCCGAACTCATAGACCTATTCGGCGGCCCCACTTCCTTCCTCTCACGCCTCGACTTCCTCCACACATCCGGCCTAACAGACATCGGCAACGAGCCCTCCTTCCTCACCGTTTTCCTACCCCACTACGCCGGCCGCCCGGGTCTCTCCTCCTCACTCGTGCACAAATACATCCCCAGCTACTTCAACTCGACTCCCACCGGCCTCCCAGGCAACGACGACACCGGCGCCATGGCATCATTCAGCGCCTTCTGCATGATGGGGCTCTTCCCCAACCCAGGGCAAAACATCTATTTTATCTCTGCGCCCTTCTTCGCTTCCATATCTGTTACTTCTCCTATCACCGGTAAGACTGCGACGATCAAGACTAGTAATTTCGATGCTGGGTATGAGAGGATCTATGTGCAGAATGTGACGTTGGATGGGCTGCCGTATACGAAGAATTGGATCGATCATAGTTTTTTTACGGAGGGGAAGACGTTGGTGCTTACAATTGCGGGAGAGGAGGGTGCTTGGGGACAGAAAGCTGAGGATGCACCGCCTGGCATGAGTGCGAGTGCGAGGATGCTGTGAGTGTTGCAGTATAGTATATGAGAAGTCAACTCGTTATTGACACATTGAACCTTTTCAATGGACTTGTGAAAATTCAGGAAGAAGAGAAGCGCGCTGCGTTTGCGTTTGCATGTGCGTTTGCAAAGTTGCAAAAAGGGTGCCCCGGCGCATAGTGAGTGACACCCTGAACTACACTGTTGGACTAGCGTGTACCTACCTAGAATTTAGGGATCGAGAGCCACGACACAGTTCCCTAAGCGAGCCCTCAAGTCAACCCCCTTTCTCTCACTCAAACATCCACCCTCTGTCCCTTCTTTCGATTCTGAGATTTGTAAAGCAGGGCTAAAAATACAATCGGGGTGTTTACGGAGTACAATCTTCAAGATGTGAAATGATAGTCGGCTCTACCTTCTTAACCGAAGAGAACCAAGAAAGAAAAGCCGACTATTATAGCCAATTTACAGAGGATAATGGAGTCATTTATTTCCAATAGCAAACATTACAACGAAGATGAAGACCTCCGCCTCCAATATCGTAAACCACCTCAACCCCTACCCCCGTTTCCAACCCTCGAAAATATCAAAAAACCACCTCCCCCAGGTCATCCACGCCATAGCAGGTGATGTGGTATAATGTGTATCGAACAAACATTCCAAAATACCTTCTGCGGCCACGGCCAAACCACCATCTTCAGGTGTAACCAGTACTGGTGTCTCAACCTCAACAATGACAACAACGACAATGATACCAACAACAATAAGAACAACAATGAAAGCCAAGACAATATCCAGAGACAGAGCCAGAGCCAGAGCTATAGTCTCTGTCCTCAGTATGAACGAGCAGTGATCAAGGACGAGAAGGAATGCCGGTTATGCTGTATCGCAGGTCTAGCGAGGAGGCGGATCGGGAGGCTGCAGAGGATTTTGGAGATCTTGAGAGAGGAGGGGTGATTATGATATGCATGGATTACAGTATGGCTGCTGGCAGACATGGCGTGTGGATATGAATTATATGGGAATGAGCAGACTTTTGGTGGTGTAAAGTTTTGGATTTTATCAAAGGAAGGGCTTTCTTGGTATGGATGCATGCCTAGCTTTTGAACACTATGAATGATAGCCTTGTCTACTTTTCGGATGTATTTTTTTACTGTAAGGTTGATCGTGTGTGAAGGTTATGGGTGCGATTTCTCCTGCTGTTTCAACGCCAGTTGCTCCACTCTTCCAACCAAGATTTTATCTGCTCGAGGGATTCGTCTCTGTAGATTCTCCTATGCAGCTCTGGTGAGTGTATAATTGCCATTGAATATCCAGAGAAAACTACTTGTTGTTTCTGTGGTTATAACTAAGAAGTCGTACTGGACGGAGGTTTTGGTAGACGCGCTGTCGTTTTAGACGAAGGCAGCTCGGCTTTTTGGACAGCCAATCATGGCACGGAACGGCACCAAGGATTTGCTTTGTCATTATTGTCTCTACACCAAAAAAGCCAATCAACAAGGGATAAAGGAACGGCACCTGCTTATCAAACCTCGCATATAATACAGCAGGTGCCGTTCTCTCTCTTCTTAACATCAAACGTCATATTTCTTCCTATAATCATACTGTACTCACAATACCCGACAAGCCTCAAACGATACCGCTCCGAAATAGCCAAGGGGAGCGGATTAGTAGCACCCTTCACCACAAATGCCTTCAGCCACTCGTCAGCCGTCTCAGTTGCTCTACTACCACCCAGCCCATCGAGTCCTGATATGTAAAGAATGTCAATATGCAATACAGCCATCAGCCAACTCTCGCCATCTCAAAGAGCTTCATCGGATTTATCGTTCTGAGCGCCAGGAGTTTATGCAATATATTGCGAGTTTAGATCTTGCCGATCCTGGACAAGTTGTTCTCCCCAAACCACATGAGGACCCTGTCTCTTTTTTACCTATCGAAAATGGATATGCTTGTGGGCTTGATGGATGTGATCATCTATGTGTTTCTATTAAGCGTATGAAGAGCCATTGGGCTACTGTGCACAACAGCGTAATGATGAATACCAATCGCTGGCGCCCCGTTTCTTTACAGACCTTCTTTCGCGGAAATCAGCTCAGATATTTCATAGTAGGGGAAGCCTCAAAGCCTGATCCGCACCTTCAATGGAGCTCGAATCCCAACAAAGAAATTTATTCGAAAACAGACATCTTGGACACTTCAAGAGCCGATTATCCTGGCTGGAACGCCGATGACCTTGAACTTCTGCATCACTTCAGGACTTCTACTTGCCTAGACTTTTGCTACACACCGCAAAGTATGCAATGTTGGCAGACGACAATTCCTACATTAGCAAACGATCACTGTTTCTTGAAGCATGGCATCCTTGCTTGCTCGTCCCTGCATAAAGCTCATCAAAACCCTGCAGCGAAGACGCGCTACCACTTCGCTGCTGCATTTCACCAGAACTTAGCCTTGCCAGAATTTCGCTCCACCATAGCGAATGTGACCGAGGTCACATGCAATGCATTACTTGCTTTTTCCTACCTTCTCATCATTAATACCATTGCGTCTGAGGATCAAGATGAGAATCTCCTACTTGTTGGTGCAGAATATGAACCGGGTCTACCAGACTGGCTGCAATTCATACGGGGTAAATGTAGTATTATCGGGAACACCTTGGAATTCATCCTAACCGGACCTCTCTCGCCCCTGCTTATGGACAGTATGGCCGGCACGCGCTCAGAAGAGTCGGAGTCAACAGATGCTGCACGCCTCGACCTCCTGTTTAAAGTCCCCTTCCTAGGTCAAAATTCAACATCGAAACATATTAGTGAAGGGAAGCCCTCACCTTTTCCTGGAGCCCTTATGAAACTCCAGGAAGCATTTTCAAAGGCGCAAGCCAACCGTTCGCATTCTAAATTTACACTGTGGGCTCTTCTTCACGCCTGGTAAACCAACCTCTTTCTTTGCTCGCTTGCTATATCTATATCTCATAGTGTTGGGCCTCTCGATGACTTCACCCCTGGTCTTGTTGTTTATATAAAACATGGTACTAACTCCTTGGTAGGCCAGCACAAGTCTCACAGGATTATTTGGATCTCTTGAAAGACAGGGACCCGCCTGCACTAATTCTACTAGCACATTACTGTATACTTCTTGAGCCGGTAGAGACACATTGGTATATGTGTGGCTTTAGGAAGAGGTTACTGTCTCGCATTTATCACCAACTAGGGCCTGAATGGCAAGCATGGTTACAGTGGCCGGTGGAAGAGGTTGGACTTTTGGAATGATATAACACTTGGCGCAGACGTGGCGCGGACCAGGGCCATAATCACAGGAGCAATTTCAAAATATTGGGAGTCGAAACGTCCGAGGTGGTTGAGCAGACCGTATTAATAGGATTGACCGTGTGCAAATCACATTATTTGATATTGGCCCTGATTAGGTGTGTTTTGGACGCAAGATCTTGCCTCTGCTTGAAGAATATGGCCTTTGAATTAATTAGTAAATTAAGAAGAGGAGAAATATGAACTGGTTCTCCGCCTTTCTAAGTTGTTCGGATGACTCTTGGTTTTAAACCACTAGTAGCGGCAACAAAGTCTTGGATTCATTATGTTAATAATATACATTGTGAATCAAACTTGACCTATGAATGCCATGGTAAGTGCATGATTCACCAGCGTCTATGAATGTCCCGGAACAGATATTCCGCTCGACTAGTTAACTATAAATACTTCCTTCTATGCTTCTGCCAACCTTAATCAACTACACCTCATAAATCGAACAGACAAACCACCAAACCACCAAACCATCAAGTCGAAACAACGAGTTCACACACTTACCAGATGTGTCACTTGGTCCATACCAACTGGTGGTGCGGCCACCCCGACCCAGTCTTGCACCCCTGCATTGACCCCCCTGAGGACGACGAGCCCGAAGATAGCTGTCCTAGGTTCCGTGAGTCTTATGCTGGAGAACGGGGGGAAGATTGTGCGGAATGCGAGGATAGGAAGAAAGCTCCTTAAATGGAAAAGCGTAGAAAGGAAAAAGAGGAAGTTGAAGCCGAAGCGAAAGCGAAAGCTTCTTCTTCAAAAAGTAGGGGAACAAAAGATATTGTTACAGAAAGGGATTACAGTATGCCACTACCACGCGTAGCTGGCTGCTTCTATAGCGACTTTCAAGGTCTCAAAGAGCATTTCTGTACCATAGAACAACTCTTAAGGTCTCAATACACAACATCGAAACCAACTTACAAAAAGCATACGCGAATTTAAATATTGCATACTAGTTTTTAGCTTCAAAAAGGGAGGAAAAGAAAGTTGCAAAAGCGAAGCAAAAGACAGAGAGGGGAGCAATTATGTAGTAAAGTAAAACCGTTTATATCTGTATTGCTTGTTAAGTTGGTCGTCATATGAAGTGAGCGTTAAGCATACATCCCCTAGATTTACCTTACGTGCACTATAGCTTATATCCTATTTCCCACTCCAAAAAGAACTTTTAGTACTTGAAAAGATATATGGTAGACCTTACCTATACAATAGAGTCGGATATCTAGTATCTGGTATCAGCTCCAGATTCTGCATCACTAAGGTAAGTTCTCGACTTCTTTACATCTACGAGACTACTATTATATCACATGCATGTTCTAAGGCCCGAAAAGTCTCCCTCACAATGACTACATGGCAATTCCACAACACCCAACCATCGCGCATCGCAGCAAACCCCTCAAAAGATCTTTGATATTAATAGTACTAGTATTAAAATGTGGGAACCAAGCAGTGGAAGTAAAGAGGGCATAGATTAAACAAAGAGAGCAGGGAATAAAGGAGAGAGAAAGCTCTGCTTATATCTCTCCCTTATCCGCTTAGCTCCTTCAAGGCTAGAACTATTCCCTACCGCCCGCAGCAGCAAGCGGCAGTACTATATTATATATTAAATATAATTTAACAACTAGTTTAACTCGAACACCAGTGAATTGTATTAGCTCCGTTTACTTGCACTTCTCATTTCCCCCTTTTCCTTCTTCCCTCTCTTCCCTCTTCTTTT